AAAGAAGAGAGATTCCCACCTCTACTCCACCAGTTCGCCTTCAAGCTGCCACACTGGCCCTTCCCCATGGTTTTGCACTACCCCCGGCATGAACTTTGAGGCCTTCTTGGGAACTCTTCTCGAAAAGCACCAGCAGGAGAACGGTGGTAAGTCTCCTACAGTAGCTTCCGTATAAATCCCCCGTGCCCTCACTTTCAAATCCTCAATACTGGACTCCCAATATTATTCGCAAACCATTCCAGTTCCAATGCAACCAAATACGTCATCTCCCGTTCCCCTGTTCCACGAACCACGTCGGCCAAAGTGTCACCTGCGAATAGTCAGAATGATGACACTCCACAATGGTATGAAGAAAGCTGCCGAACTTGCTACGATCCTATTACCGAATAACCCCAGTCCGACGAAGAGCGGGAACAGAGGAAAAAAAGAACAAGCTCCCAGCGGAAGCGAGCCAACCCTCCACTTAACACATACTATCACACAAAACTTTACAACCTCACATAAACCACGTTGACTTCAAAATTGCAAAACCTAAACCCTAAATATAAGCCACATGATTCATTCGATTCTATTCACCATAATCCTGTATTAGTAAACGAGTTAAACTAGTACTGGAAACGGAGACGACCCAGAGGGCATATGAATGGTGTGTGTGAAAAAAAAATTCTCTAGCGTGTGGCAAAAATAAAAATAAACCTTGTTTTCAATCTTGCGTCAAAGGGCTGTAGAGCAATTTGTTAACAAACACATTTTTAAATTTAAACATATTTATTGCTACGAGCGAATTTTATTTCTACCTTTCATGCTTCGACCATGAAGATTGCCCTACCAAAACAGCAACAAGCGCCTCGAGAAGTCGCATTGCTTCCCTTGCTCAATGATACATACAATGCAGGAATCCATTGACCACAAGGATCCAACTCGCTGTGCGAGTTTCAAGGTGCGAGAAGCTGTGTGGTGCCAGCTCAAGCCGACTCTGCGTTGGTCAACTTCTCCATGGCCATTGCCCAAGTGCATTCGTTCCCTCTAACGAGGAACTGTCCTCACCTGTTTCAACGAGTCTTTCAGAAACAGCACGATTCTTTGCGCAAACAACAGCAGCAAGCTGCAGCCGACGCCTTGGTTCAAGACGTGGTTAACAACCAAACTGGTGCAGTTTTCGCAGCTCACCAACACCAAGTGTCCAACGCTGTGCCTCGTCCCAGATCGGAAGAACATCAGATTCAAGTGGCAGGGTTTCAAGGAAGAAATATGAATCAATTGATGCAGACCGCTTGGTGCAAGTCCAACATATGAAGGAACTGAATAGGGAGCAAGCTTTCTCATACATGCAGTTGATTTGGCAACCAGTTCAGAACCTCATGGGACGGTCTGATGATCCACTTATGATCCAAGGTGATGTTCTGCCTGAATTTAATGGGTTCATTGAAGCTCATGCTTGCAAATGATACGGACCCAGGCAGCTGTGTTTGTATACGAGTCTTGGCGCGTACGAATGTAGATAAATCTCTTCATTCGACACGGGTCTGACTGGCTCCATGTTCACGGATGCTTTTTGGTCCGGCGTTGTCTCGTATGCAATGACAACAAGAAAGGCTCACAGAACAGTCCAAGGTCGGTTCTCTATTTGATGCCGGACAGTGTCTTATTCGACGGAAGGCTGAAAAGAACTACCAGTCTGCCGCAGCTGTTGCCACACGACTTGGTTTCGTCCATGATACTGCTCTGGCGAATGAGCGCTACAGTGACTTGTCCCTGCTTCCGGCGTGGTCTGGCTGCCAGTGCTGAATATGCTTTTCAGGAAGCTCTCAGGCTGAGCTCAGAATGGTCTTGAAGTCAGATGATCCATTTGCCCGGCAAAATTCTATAAAGTGCCGTCGACGAGGTTATTTGGTACATGTTCGTTTGTTGTCGATGGTGGCGTTGTTTGGTTGTTGTCGTGAGGATCGCTGGCCACCGGTACCACAGCAGGACAAACATTCAAACAATTAAGAAAGCGAGGCTGCTGTTGTATCGATATTTTTCTCGCGGCACCTGACGGGTTTCCAGATATTGTCTGGTGCCAGGGCCCGTGCAAGACCACGAGCAAGATGCTGTCATCGCGAGGCTGGCAATGGCGTATCATGGATGTTGTCGCGAAATATCCAGGTAAGTTGGAAGTTTTTCCCAGACTTCCGCAGGGAGGCTTCCACAGAGACAGCATGTTGCTGTGCTGCCCTCGAAAAAGATCACTGAAGATCCGATCGGTTGCCATGTACGGGGCAAACCGTAGATCATAGAGAAGAGATGAATTGTTGTATCAGGACTCGCGATAGAAATGTCCCTCAATCTCGCAGTCCTTGTAGTTTCGTTTGTAGCCGCTCCTCATCGATCGGGACAGAGCTAGCACGACAGCGCCATATTGCTGAAGCCATACATAATATGTGCATGAGTTCTTGTCCTTTAGGAGTGGTTCACAATCGGAAGGACGCTTCATTCTTGGCCCTCAACGACAGCAACCTGTGCACCCTTCGAAGGATACTATGTTTCGCTTCTTCCAGATTGGGTTGCAAGTACAATTCACTCAGGGTTCGTGGAGTCGTAGTATCGACCTGACAACCAAAATCCATGACGCTTGTCCATGCCTTGGGTAAAAGTGGTTTCAAAAGACCCCAGAAGATGAGAGCAGACGAGTTGGAATTGTATTCCATTAACTTGCTGACCTTGAAGGGTACGTGCATCCATACTTCTTCAACGAGGCGACGGGAATATGTCAAGGAGATGTTCTTCCACGACATGCTGTGACCATCCCACAAGAAGAAGATACCTTCTCGTGTAGTTTGCAGAGAAGCCAGAATTGCGTATACCATGTAGTAACTGGCAACCGCATGGATCCTCCAGTTCTGTTCTGGAACGGTATCTTCAGGAGAGCACTGGAGGGCAATGTTGGGATCAATGGAGCCCCTGTTAAAGGCTAAGACCCCCTCTCCAGTCAAGGGGCAGACGTCCACATTAAGAATGGCACCCGGTTGCAGTGTCATCATTTGGTCCAGATAATAGACGCCCTGCGAAGGGCTGTGGTCCACATCATACTGGATTCGGAATTCCTGCAAGCCTTGGATGCGTTCCAGAACCAAGCCTAAATCAGGATCATCTCCACGATCGCTTTGATCTATCACCAAGGCTGCATGCTGAGCATAATCCATGTCACTCAAGTTGTGCAGGTCTTGTCTCTCCTCAACAGTTTGTTTGATCTTCTTGGCAAGCGATCGTTCCGCGGAAGTAATGTCCATGGAGGTGTCCACAGCGTCTTCGTCGTCGCTGAACTCAAACTGTTCAAAACCCTCATCATCTTCGCTCTCGGAGAATTGGTCAGCTACCGGCATTCTTGCGCCGGGTTCGTGTTGCATCATAGTTTCTTCACTCTGCAGCTTCCTCGAGATCTCGCAATGAGGATTAGTCTGCTGCTGGCTGCTGGCTACGGTAGAGATAGCTACCTCGCTACAATACATGTGGGGCACGAGTGTGGATGTGCTGATGATGCAGGTGTGGATGCTTGCATACCTCCTCTTCAATGTTGGTTTGTTATTACTATACGTGGTTAGACCAGAGGTGACATCAGTGGTTCGTTCTGGATTCTGCTCCGACTTCTCCGCTTCTCCGAACCGCTTCTCCGGCTTCTCCGCTTATTGGTCACCGCGAAGGGATGACGGTCTGCGCATGCTAGCTACCGGTAGCTAGCATGGGATGGAACATCGATACCTTTACTGTATTTAAAATAGTACCGCCAATTAGCGCACCAAGCTATCCCAAGTACTACCACGTGTGCACTGTATTCCAATAGGGCACGTGTTCCTTGCCAGTAAAACTCACCATGCATGAGTGCATACCTGTACGTATTGGTGTGGTTTGGTGACGAGCTTGAGAAAGCGTGCGGAGAGATCGTAGTCTCCCTTGTTATCTCCTCCCGTCCCTCTCCATCCTTCCTTAATGCGTAGTGCGCCGTTACTCGATTGTTCTTAGCCCCATCAATCAATTGGTTACGACGTGACTTCAAGGGTAGCACCATCGAGTTTACCGCATTCTCCAATGGTCCAATGATTCGGGAGTTCTCTTCCAGGATAGAAAAACTTCAGTTGCTTTAGGCCACGCCTTCGTGTCTGGCTGCAGTTACTCTTTGATATACATGTATGACTCCTTGACGACTTCTCATTTTCGGGAAACCGCTATGCGTACAATGGAGGCAGGTCCCGTTGCATCCAGAGCACCGCTGTTGTCCTTGAAGTATTATTGGTACTAGTACTTCGTAGTAGCTGTAGCTCCTGCCTGCGGCCGAGGTCAAAGGTTCTAGACCCTTGTTCCTTGATTAAAACAGAAAAATGATGGTATCCGCTGGGAATCGATGGATGACAGAGAAGGCTTGCTTATCTCTTCTGCTGTGGATGAGGGAGATAATGTCGCTGGAGCAATGTAGGGGTTGACATAGGATGGATAGACCTCAATGTCGACGAAGCTGGTGTTGGTGGCTGTGGGTGTTGCTTCAGTGGGCCGGTGGGGCATCCATTTTCTCCAACGAAATTGTCCTCGTTATTCGTCATCCGAGGCTTACCCCATTTTTCATTTAAAAACCTCTCTCCCGTATCATCTGGTGCCCAAAGTGGTCATTTCGAAGTCGCTGTACTGTAGCACAGTGGATCGTGGATGGTTCGCTGATATGGAATGGCGGTCGACCGCAACGCAAGTCACCTGCCAGTCTTCTTGCCTTTTTGACGAGTTGAGTTAAAAAGTTAGTTAGAGCAGGATCGAGCACACCATGGGGCAACTAACGCTGCTGCTCCAGTGGTCAAACTCTCTCTGGTTGTTGCTGTAGGCCGATGGCACTACCTGGTACCAATGAGCTACTAGTACGGTGCTGCACTCCAGATAAATGACCCACACTACTCTGGCGAAAAAGTTGAGAATTCTCAAACCTACTGGCTGGCTCCAACACAAATCTGAAGATCAAGTTGAGAATTCTACAATCACCCTAACCCAAACCATCAAAAATCCTGCTGCTGATTCTGAGGAGTTATCACCTTTTTCAAAATTCTCAACTTTTTCGGCACAGTACAGTGAGAAGGAAAAAAAGGAAAAAACTCAGTTTAGACGTTTTAGTCTTACACGGATCAGTTAGAATCAATGGAGAATGCTGTCTCCTTTTTGAGACAGACTCATAGTCTCATAAAAAGGCTTACTGTCTCTAATTGGAGACAGCTGTCTCGACAGTCTCCAAGTTGAGACAGTTTTTTAAAGGGGGATGAGGTTAATAATTAATTTCAAATTTTTCAGGGTTTACCTCATCTGTAGAAACTATTAGAGACAACTGTCTCCTTTTGAGATGACCATCTTTAAAAGGAGACAGCTGCCTCAAAAAGGAGAAAGTATTCTCCTTTGATCCCAACTGATCTCCAATTAATGACAGTTGAAAACAGGACTGAATCTTGTTTTACTGAAACAGTTGTTTTTACTTTTGTTTTTCAGCCAAAACAGTCTTTTACCCCAAGGTGCTGTGTAACCATAGCTACCTGGTACACTGTGTAGCTGTGTAGTAGCTACCGATTGAGTGTTCTCATTAACCACGACTGGACATGAGCTTCTGTGAACACGAGACGTGGATAGTATCATGGGTCCCGGTGACGTCATCACGTATTAGCTTTTATACCGAGTACACCGTACCAACGACTTTTGGCTCTGTCCCGCTTCTAACCCGGCTTAATTCCATCGCCAATCTAGCTAGCGTCCCAGCCAGATCCTAGGAATTCGGCAGTCGGCAGCTTGTTAGTTGTGAAGTTGCGAACCGAACAACAGCATCATGATAGTCACCAGCAGACCGGTATGCCATACACAGTGTGGTTGCTAACGTTGGCACCTCATTCGTTGCCAGCTACCGGTAGCAACCAATACCAAACAGCACCATGAACACCTCTGACCCTGCCCTGAGCTTGGAACAGACGATTGCGCGTCAGGTGCTGTACGCCCAAGAACAAAAGTGTGGAGCCGGACGAACCGTTTTCGAAATGGAGGGTCTGAAGCATGCCTTGGGAGGAGTGGTTCTGGTCGACAAGAAGAAGAAGAAGAGCAATGATGAAGATGGCAGCCTCGAAGACAAAAGACTGAACCGTCACCACAAGTTGGCGGCGGCGCTACAGGACTTGGGCGATGCCAAAACGGCTTTGGATGGTTCTTCTCATCACTCCAGCCGCCTGCACGAACCCACAACTCACAAGATGCGAGAATCGTTTTCCCAGTTGTGCAGTGACAGTGCCAGCAGCCTGATGGACGAGGGTAGTTTTCGAGACCAAATCGCAGCCGGAGGAGATCGATCGGCGGCCGAGGATTCGGTGGCACTTTTAGAAAAGTTAGCCAAAAACTACAAACCAGACGCCCATTACTCTTTTGATTTGCACAATTTATCGGCTGGGGATAATCTCATTATGATTCCAAGCAGCGACGAAGACGGAGATGAATCGGCAGAGCTCGACATTGACTTGGATTATCGCTCGGATGGCGGCGACATCAAAGATGATACGCAAAAGAGACATACCCGACAAAAGAACCAGGAACGAAAGAGTACCAGCGTGAGGAAAAAGAAATCCGAGACGATAACACTCACCGAACGAAAGCCCAGAAGTTCCAGGACCAAACGTGGAGAAAGGGCACCCGATAACCACAGTACGACTGCGTCCAGCCCATTGCGCCGTGCAGTGACGACCGATGGAACAGGCAGGAGGAACCGTCGTGAAACGGGAGAATCGCCCAATTTGCGTCGAGCACCCACTAACAACAGTAAGACTGCGTCCAGCCCCTTGCGTCGTGCAGTGACGACCGATGATACAGGCAGGAGGAACCATCGTGAGACAGGAGAATCGCCCACTGGGCGTCGAGTACTCGATAACCACACTAAAACTGCGTCCAGCCCAGTGCGCCGTGCAGTGACGACTGATGAAGCAGGCAGGAGGAACCATCGTAAAACAGGAGAATCCCCCAATGTGCGTCGTGCATCTGAAGCGGTAGCCTTTCGACGATCTGGCACTACCACTGCCAGTGGAGGAAGAGGCCGTAGACGTGATCGGGCTCGTGACGTTGCTGCGGCGCAGTTGATGAACATCGGAACTGTGTGCGAAGAAAAAGAGGCACAAGAAGCACAAGAAAGGGCCCAGGCAGAAGCCGCCGAAGAAGCTCTTCGCCGGGCACAAATTGAGTCCCTCAAAAAAGCGGCTCTCGCCAGAGGACCGTCGGTGTCGACTGTAATTGCGAACAAGATTCGGAATGACCCAGGTTTGTTGGAGAAGTTTCTTTTAGAAACGCAGGACGACGAAGAGATCAGAGCGAACTTGACGCAGGGTCCACCGTCGGTCATTAGTGGACACGACGACGGCCACGGTGGCGACAGACGACGTAGCCTCGGCGAACGTACCGCGGGAAAGCGGCGAGTGCGAGCAGCCGATCGCGGTTCCATCGCTAAGAGTACCATTGAGCCAGGAACGTATCGCAGTGTGCTTGGAAGTGCTGACAGCAACCACTAGGGTGCGGTACGACTATAGAACAACGAGAAAGTCGAGACTCCTGTTCCTGAATTACTGCTACGTTACGCGATTCTCGGCTTTGGTTTCGTTGTTCTATCTGCAGGCAAAGCTTAGAATCCCACGAACTTCGTTTCACTTGGTTGGCTTCACCCTGTGAGCAAGTACCTTCATCCAAGGACAGTCACTTCGGTGTGCGTGTTTCCGAGGATCCAGCTTGCGGGTCCTGGGTCACAAATACAGGTGTTTGCCCCCGACGGTGTTCCGTGTCCTCGTTTTTGTTTTGTTACCCTCTTGAGTTTCTTATTAAACTTACATAAAAATCCTACAACATAAATTACGAGATTCTCCGTCCTGCAGTACCAGTCGACTCCAACGAAAACATGGCTAATGAGGCCTCTGTGATGGTAGCTTGCATGCTGCCACAGCTGCTGCCTGCTGCCACCTGACTCAAGCTGTGAACCTCCGATCTCCTCAGCATCGTTTGGGTGATTCGTCCGACTTTGACAAGTCTAGCAAGGGAAGAGTGTCTCCATCATCCTTTCGGAGAACGTAGGTCATGGGTTGCTCTCCGTAAGTTCCGGGATGGCGGAACTCTGCTAGGATTGGTTTCTTGTGGATGCCAAAGTAACGCACGGCTATGGCATACATGGATATCTGTGCCACGGAGTTGAAGCACCAGATGGCAGGTTGTTCATTGACCGATGCAGTCAAGTATTTTGTGAGGATGGGTCCTGTCAACCAAGCAAGGAATACATAGACCTGAAGCATGGGCTTTTTGAACATGATGATGTAGGGCCCAAAGAAGAGGAAAAAGTGCACTGAAGGGGAGGGGAAATAGTAGCTTTGCTTGTAGATGGGAATGGCCCAAGCTAGGTGCCCTGTTTCGGTGGGTGCGTAGTACACACAAGCTGATCCTGGTTGATTTGGGGTGGTTTTATTCAGGAATCCATCATATCCCTCGTACAAGTACTGATAGTTGGGACAATCTTCTGTGGCAGGAGGCAGTAGGCTTTGGTCGACTCCCATGGCAGCACAGATCCAAGAATAACTGACGAACCAAAAGCCAGCCAACACACAGAGCTTGAAGATGAAATCACTGAGGATCCGAGCCTCAATATCATGTTTGCGGTACATGGAAAGCAGCGTGAAGGATACGAACACTGGTTGAAACACGAGATGGGCCGCACCCATGTCTGTCAGCATTTGATTTGTCCGATTCTTGCACATGGCATAGTCGTCATCGGCGCTCGCTGCGTAACTGTGCTGGACGGCTTGAATTACTTCCTCAAGTCCCCAGTAGGCAATCCCCGCACTGTACTGCCAGCTCCTGAAAGACCGCCATTCATACCAAGCCGAGGCAAAGGACGCCACAGCTAGCGTAACACTCATTCCCTGAGTAAAGCACATCTTGCAGTCAGATTCCTGGAGTAAAAGCACTCGGAGATTGTGAAAGAACAGGTCGATTCTTTTTTCTTCTTCTGTTCTCTCGCCTGATGCGGATCGCGGTTGTTTCATTTTGTGGCTTGCAACCAGATCTGGTACCTCGGCAGTCTCTACTCATGGTTCTGGTTTTTCTTTTCACTTCTGCGATACTAAGCGGTTGTTTGCTCGTGCGGCTTGTCAAAGATTCTTTTTTTGGTTTTTACATTTAGATTGAAGTTCATGACAGCGCGGTTGGAAAAGGAAACACAAATAATTGACCTGATGCTACCAAAGTGTTTACCGTACCGGTACAGCAGTAGGTACATTCTCACGTCTGACTGGCTGACTGGAGCATCAAGCATCGAGCGAACACCTTGACCAAACAAAGGAAGGATATTTTGCGGGTTCGGGGCAGGTATGCATACCAGTACGACTGTACTAGTAGGATACCACAAGCGTGCATAAATCCACGGAATTCGTGGTTGTTGTCAGTAAAAATCAAAATAGAACAACCAATTTTAATTAAAAAAGTAGAAGACTACATACGATACCGTAGCTCTACTTATGCATACCAGGTTTTCCTCGTACCATTCCTGGATAAAAATTCAATGTTCCGGTCATTCTATTCATTGAATGACTGTCACTCGATTCGATTCGATTCGATTCATCATTCAATCATCAATTGAATCGAATCAGTCGAATCGATCATTCGAAAAATCCCAGTAAATTATATTTAGAATACTCACTTTTTGCTGCAATTGATAAAAAAAATTTCTTTTCGATTATTTCTTTCATTCAAAACCTGCACGTACACGAACCGAACGGTTGTTGCATGATAATAAAGACTAAATAGATACAAGATTTTAAGCGGCAGAAGGCAGTGATGTGATTGGCTAAGGACACGGGTACGACACAATAATACGTAAGCAGTATATAAGACACAAGTTGAATATTTTAACGTACTACTGTGCTACCATTCACCGTATTTCCGAGCCATCGAAACAAAGAAGAAGGATTCCGTGCAAGCCAATCAGCCGATGAACCAACCCACCATGGCCAAAACGACGGTCATTTACTCCTTCAGATCATCATTAACTTGAACCACCAACACATTGAACATGACAGGTAGCCCCCATCTTGTGGATCTCTCTGAAGAGAGACCAGGCGAAACCTCTCATAATGATGCAATGGGACGCCAAAGCCAGCAAAGGAATTCACAGCAAAAGAGAGGATATCAGCTTGCTTCACTGAACAACAACAAGAAGCGCAAGAAGAAGGGAGCTCAACAAACCATGGATGGGAATTCGAAGGAGCCTTTTGACTCTCTGAAAGACTGCAATGTCTGTATAGCATATGCTCGCAGGAAACAAGGTTTAGAGGTCCGAATCCCAAAAAGGACACCACGACCGCTGCATCAAGAAACATTGACAAAAGGAGAGCGGGGTTATACAAAGAACCATTGCAACAAGAGAGGAGGAAAAGCGACTGGAAGCACTTTTCAAACAACCACTTACTGAATCAGAGAAAGGTAGCTGGAGACACTCAACAAAGGAAGCGGGAGAGGCATTTTTCGCTAGAAGGAGAACCAAATCTGCTCCTCCACCAACAACAATGACAACTCCACAATCCAATTGGAGCACTACCGGTGAGCTGACACCAGTCACACCTGAGTTTCTTTGCAAAGAAGTCACCAAACTGGTTAAGGAAGACTCTTTCTGCGACAAGCATAAATCCAAAGGTGCTCCTATTGCAATGGTAGCATTTGCTGAAGTGATGGCCGAACGAGTGATTAGATCAAGAGACAAGTCTCTCTTCAACCAACATTTCAAAGGACTTACTGCAACTGTTCCCAACGTGCCAGCAATCATCGATCCACACTATCATTCCATCATTGGACAGCATCTGCTTCTGTCGATTGGTACCGTTTTGGACTTGATCACGTCCCCTGTCCATATTGCGATGGGAAGCTGTGCAATGAAAGAACAAACTTCTCCAAGAACAAGACGCTCTTCCCAATCTTTGGAATACAAAGCTCACCGTCCTGGTGCATGGTGATGCATATGGTGTGTAACTCCTGCAAAAGAAGGATTGACTCCAATTCAGCTCAAGTCCTTTCCAGCATTCCTCCATACGCCGCCAGCTGCTATCCGGTGGAGCCGAAATACGCACTGGAGAAGGTGTGTCACCTATCCAAAACAGCAACGGATGTCTTTGATGCGATCATGGTTACCTATGGGAATGGGGAACTATGCAGCAGAATGCTGTACAGAGCAATCAACAAAGAATATCTTAGCCGATTACATGCTATTATTCTTACAACAAAGAACACAAGAGCACTCACCAACCATCACCATTGCCCCTTACATTGAAAAGGATGGTTGTTACATACGACAATATCCGCCTTTGGGTGATTCTATCAGGGATGCTTTCGATGACGCCGCAAGTAATCCCTGCAATCCTTGGGGCAATAAGCGACCATGACAGACACATTCGTGAGATTCAAAGTGTAGTGCAATGCAATCTTCTACAGGACCACACCTTTCAAGTCGTCAAGAATTACCAAAAGAACCAAGTCGGAGCAGTCGCAGCTTGGGATGTTGCTACGTCCACCGGTGAAATTGCATCAGCAGTACTGGTTCCCACAACCAAAACCATTCACTTTTCTCATGCCGCCATTCAGCTATCAAAGAGACCAAACTTTCAGCCAAAAGCCATGTATAGCGACACATGGCCCAACAAACAAGACTTCTGAATGTTGTTTTTCCAGATTTGGAAGGTCCGCTTGGCCTGTTTCATTTTGAACAACGAATCAACTCGACAATGAGGAAAGGGCACATCGATTACATGGAAGCACTGGCTGGTCTCCTCAATTGTCTTTATGTGTACTTACCATCCGATTACGAGAGTTGCTTGTTGCTCTCAAAGATGGTTCGTTGTCGGCAACTGGCAAGTGCTTCTCTTCAGAGGAGATTGCTGATCTTCAAGGAACAAAACTCTTCCGCGATCGATATGCCAAATATCTACGAAAGCAAATGAGAGAACCGGCAACAATGGTACAGCTGTTAGATGACTGGTTCAATCGTTACAAGGTCACGTCGTCTGATCCTGTAAATCGTCCAGCGAAAGGACGTCTCGATCCAATCAAAAAGCTTTCTCTATTCACCGAGGAAGCAAAAGATGCCGTGAAAAACTGTAAACAGAAGGAATCCATATTGCGTGAATTCCAATGTCGACTCATGGATGTATGATGCCTATTGTTCCAGCAAGAAACTCAAAGCACGGACTTACAGAATACCATCTACAGGAGTAGGAGAGTCGAAACTGGAGGCGTTTCTATGCATAGATTTGCCCATATTCGCAAACAGTGGCGAATTATGAGGAGCGACTCTTGCCGACAATCTTAATCTGGTCTGGAACAGCTCGCCGATATAAATACTTGCCATTACATAATTCGTCATCCACGACGAAGAAAGAGACTCTCTCATTCGCCTCTGCCGCGAGATGGACTCTAGACAATTCCTAAATTGCGATGGGATGCGGATTTGCCCTCTTCAACCACAACCGAACTTTGGTTTGTCAACCAGTTGGCCATCTCCAGCGGTGTCAACAAGATCCCGTTTTCTAAAGCAGAGAAATTGCCCAAAGATAATGGTGAGAGATTCTTTTCCGAATATCTGACAGCATGCAAACCTCGGATGCAAAAATATGGACCACTCGACCATTGTCTCTGTTGTTTGTGCACCGATCAATCAACAGGGATGGAACTGGTCACCGAATCATCGCCACCATCGCCGGAGCGTCCTCTGCCAACAACAACAAGATCTCCGTATGTGCGGAGCATCTGAGGGGTTCAACAACACAACACAACAACGGCATCAGCAACAACAGCAAAACAGCCGCAACACAACCAAACCAACAACAGCCGCAACACACCAACCGCAACAACAACAGCAGCAACAACAACCACAACAGAGCAACACAATAATGAATCAATTCGGAATCCAACACCACACCACCACCACCACACCGGCCTGCCAATGCAACAGTCACAAACGGAGGGTTAAATAATACCCAACAACACCAACAGCAAAATTCAAATTCGAAATCCTTACTTACAACCAGCGCCGGCACCAGCAACATACACCCAAATTCAAACGCAGTACTTTGGTTGGGTGCCGCTGCTACCTGCCTTTCCACCCGCGTATCGACCGCCGCAAAGAGGTTGCTGTGATCGGTACTGCCAATGGATGACTCGGAGAGTAGGTAGACCGCCGCATGATTACTGGTGTCGGTATAAAATGTATTCGATGTAATCAATAATAATAGCATCTTCATTGTCCACCAATTTTGTATTTGTGAGTGTCTATTTTGTGGGAGGATTTCGATCGGGGAAGGACTGGGAGAACAAAAATGAGAAGAATCAAATCGTTAGTGGACTAGGGATTGGTTTGAATGTGGGTGACGGCCGTTCATGATGTGGCGATGTCTTAGTGACGATTTCCGGTGGGGGGATGACCTCTTTCCTTAGAGGAATAATATTATGACTGCCTTTACCCCCATTTCATATAAGTAACCAAATGTCGTTGTAGCCGGCAGGCAGGGCGTCCCTCGCTTGGTGACCAGAATTCGGAATCTTAACCCTCTCTCTTTTCTCCTCCCTCCCCCCCGGATGCCACCCCCCTAAATGTTGCCACAAAGGAGCGAGGGGCGAGGTAGGCATAAGCAGTGGCTGGGTGGTGGTGGCTGTTGTGGTGGGCATACGGGGAGAGCAATGAGGACGCGAGCAGGGCAAAACAAGGGGGGTGCATGGAGGAAAACCAGGAAGGACAAGGGAGCAAAATTAGCGGAAGAGTGCAAGTGCACCATCGGCATCCCAGAGAGAACGACGGTAGCTCATTGTGCCAGCAGGGACACGAGAGCCACGCATGCAGAGGTGGCGGGCCCGAAGAATAGCTAGGCTGAGCCGAGCATTAACGTAGCCACGCACCACTGAGTAGGGGCGTTACCACTTTGCAGCGAGCAAAGCGGAAATACGTTTCGCGAGTGCCTCAGCTTCGGCCCCAAGGAGACCATCAGCAGAGACAACAAACGGCGTAAAGTGGCGGCGCTGGGAAAGACAGGCGTCGAGGTACTTGCGTTTCTTGTCACGTTCGCCATTGCGAAGGACCTTGTCAGGATCCTTGCGACAGTGAGAAGCAGCATCAAGATTGATGACACGAACATCAATTATGCCGTCAGTTCCGCGTTGCCAGAGGCCACGGATAAGGAGATCACCTCGTTCCTCAGATGGGGTGAGAACTACAGGAGAGTCTCTGGAAGGCGAAGCATCCGTAGCTGCAGAGCGACTAAGTTGGATACGGGGTTCGTCGCGAACTGCAGATGGGATGAATGCCTTGGCAGCGAGATCACCAAGTTCATCACGCACTTCATTGTGGCGTTGGAGAACCAGGCCGCCCTTGGTACAGGAAAGGGCGTGAGTGACACTGAAGCGCTCTCCACAGCCATCACAGTGGCTGGGAAGATCAGAGGGGCTCCGATCGTAGCGCAAGTGCAAAGCATCGCGGAATTCCTGGGCAGCGAGAACAGTGCCATTTTCTGGCACTGGAACCACATGAAGCCAGGCGCCAGTCTCCGGGGCGCGCTTCACAACAGAACGACTGGAACGTGGCAAGGTACCAGGTACCTAAGACCTTGTGCAGGTTCACAGCAGCTGCAGCTTCGCGGCAAGCGCGAAGAGCCTCACGACCATCAGACACTGCCTGACGATGATCCGCAATGCGGAATTCTTCGGAGGGATCACACAGACTAGCTGTGATCACACTGCAGAAGCTGTGCAGATAAACCGGTACAGTCGTACCTGGCTGCTACCAGTACAGAGAGTGCAAACATACTGGTAGCTGCCAGAGAGAGCGTGTGACAGTCGCAATGGGGAAGAAGAGCAGACGAGTCCGCAATGGCGTCGGTGAGGTTTCCACCAGCAACAATGCTGCTGCACCACCAAAAGAAGAGGACTGTCACTCGAAACCGATTCCGCGGCAACGATTCCTCTTTCCTGAAGACTGGGACATCAACGTGGCCGCTTCACATCCCTTTGTTCGTCCCGAGTATCAATACATTTGCATCGACGCGGAAAAGTACATTGACAAGAACGATGGGATCTCGGAAGTGAGTCGCAAGAACAAGAGCCAAAAGATTGAAAACTATTCCGATTGTCCCATGTGTTTCAAACCATCCACACAGCAATGCTCCGTGTGCAAGTGCGTCAATTACTGTTCTCGAGAATGTCAACTGGCCCACTGGAGTGCATCCCACAAAAAGGCGTGCCAGCCCAATCCCAAACAGCAAAAGTTCAAGCTGAACCTGGAAGTCTTTCGCGGCATGCCTGAGGATTGCTTTGAGGGACACGAGTTCTTGGTGGTCAAACCAAGCGAGAAACTGGGCTCCTTGCAAGCCATCTGTGATCAAGTTTTGGAACCTGCCGATGATCTACTGGATATCCCTGGTTTTGGATCCGATCAGCTTGATGACGTGTGGTTGATGGAGAACAGCTCGCATCCTATTTATCAAAAGATGGTCCACAAGTTTGGGTTTACATCTGGGCGCATTGGCCACGAACTGCTTTACGGATACCGACTCGCTGAAGCTCGATTCCTGTACTTTCTATTGTGTGATGATTCCTTTCAATCCGAACTGACCATGGCATCCTCGTACTATGGAGAAGCGCTCTTTCCACCACTGTCTCCGGGCAAGTTTGTGCGGGGAAACATTGTGATTTACAAGGTCATCGTGACCAACAAGCAACGAAAGCAGCAGCGTCAGGGCAATGTACCATTCTTGGAGTTTACGGATGATGCCGACATTAAATTTGAGTTTGTGCTCGTGCCCATGAACAAGGCAGAATTGGCGTTGATGTTGTCCGTCCGAAAAAAGGCCATGGAGAACGGTGCTTACACCACTCGAATGTGGCGGTATCATGTGCGTGCCAAGGAGCGACAAGTGGAAATGGATAAAAAGGCCAAGGCAAATCCGAATCATTTGAATTTCTCGTACTGAAAGAAGGAAGCAGGATGGGGTCAAGTTGATCACCCTGTGCGATGACGACCAACGACAACAAACTTTGCATGGTTGCATTGCATGCAGTTGTTCTTGAATGCACTGCGGAATCAAAGTGCCTCCTCATAAGCATTCAGCCCTGGGGCCCGAGGCAAGACAAGAATCTAAGTACCTACCGGTAGTATAACAAGCTTTATGGGCAACCTGAGTGGAAGGGACGTGACACTACTGGTCTCCAGCATAGACACCATAGCTTTGAACTGGACAGAGAAGCAACTCGTGCAACATCCTGATGAAACTTTCAGCGGCACTGTAGCAAGCAACAGAAGCTGGTAGAGTCGTACCCCCATCCATCGTGCAAAGTGTCATTACAAGAGCAGCGTTTGTATCGGTGAGCGAAACGAAGAGTCCTTGCTTTGTGCTGAAGGTCCTGGTAGGGTAGGACTGTACCGACACACAAGCATCCATCGACAGGCAGGGTTCTAGCTAGTGTCTTTGGAGAAAATGCCACACTGGCAGCGACAGACTGACTCCTCTGTTCTTCGTTTGTTTATGTATTTACATGTATGTCATAATATGCATCTAGGCTAGAACAACCTCTCGGACTGCCTGAACCACTAATGTACCGTAACACCAAAGTCTTTGTTTCTATTCCCATTTTTCGGTTTGACACCATTTACTGCTCGATTTCTTCCTGAGAATCGGATAGTTTCGCCCGCTCTGGATCCTCATCACCGAAATGCTCAACACCACCACCCTCATCAGCTTCGGTGGAAAACGATGCCGGCGCAGCAGATCTCCTTGACGGGAATTTGATAGATTGAATCCAATCGGCCGTCCGGTGTGCCCCACCTCGACAATAGCACCAATAGGTCATGCCAATTACAAATAGAGAGAGGATTGTCACAGTAACGGCCCCACCCGCCGTCTTGCCTTCTTCAAATAGTTGCGAAATGGCAATGGTAATGACTGGGAAGATGAAAAAGAAAAAGACAATGTAGAGGGGTGCAAAGAGTCGAAAGACTCGCACTCCTTTTCCCATGCGGCGTCCGAGGAAAATGGGTATGCGTCTCAAATGCGGAATGGGATACCAAATGAGCACTCCGGTGATGTTAAAGAACAAGTGGGCGAGTGCCACTTGCAATGGATCCAATCCCGACGCCACCAATGCGGATAAAATGGAGGATAGTGTGGTTCCTACATTGGCGCCGAGAATGAGTGGATAAACTTGTTCGATTCGAATGACTCCAATTCCGACCCACGGAGTCAATACAGCCGTGGTGAGTGAGGATGATTGTAAGAGCATGGTGAGACCAGCTCCGACGGCAATTCCGATGTATCCATTCATATTGACGACTTTGTAGACAACCCGGGTGGTCAATCCCTTGAGCAGCCACTGTGCAATCCACATTAATCCCAATATGCAAATATAGCATAGAATCAATGCCATGACGACGGATACTCCCCCAGCCACTTTATCATCGACGAGTGTCGCTCCTTGTCGGAACCATGCGGGACAATTTCCCGTGGCCTTGTCGCAGGTAACAAATCCTGTATGACAGGTAGCCTTACTCTCGGGAAGTCCATCGATACAGCGTGTGGGATACCAGTCGGGATTGTCGCAAGAAGATCCTTCTGCCACGAGAATGATTGCTTTTTTGTTGGAAATGATGAGTTTTCGGGTCAGCGGTTTGACCCATTTTTCCATGGGTCCATCCCAGTCTTCTCCTTTTTTGGTTTCGGCTCCGTCGACAATGAGTTTGGTGACATGCTCCAAGTACCCCGTGAGTACTTCAAATGGGAGTAGAATGGCGACGGTCATCCAGTTGAATAGATCGTGGAGACACGCCGACGCAAACGCGCGTTCCATTTCTTCGACATTGGCGAATTGTGCCAACGAGACCATGTCGTTGGTAATGGTGGTCCCAATATTGGCTCCCATGACGAGATAGACTCCCGTTTCGACAGTAATGACTCCGTCACTGACGAGCGCCACCACAATGGAAGTCGTGGTGGACGACGACTGCATCAAGGAAGTGGCCAAGGCAGCGACCATGACGGCCGAGACGGGATTAATGTGCGATCCAAACAAGAGACCACCACGGCAGCCACTCAGCACTTTAGCACCGGTTCCCAGCAAATCCAACGAGAAGAAGAAAAAGTACTGAAAGAAACACAAACCCAGAATTCCCAATAGAATCTTGCCAATCTCATCGGGTGTGTGGCGACAACAGGCACCGCAGACTTCGCCCCATTCCGCTTCGTCGTAGTCATTGATACTGGACAGAGTGAAGTCTTCGTCTCCGAATTTCATGGCGCCCTTTTTGCGACGGCGGCGGCGGCGGCCATCGTCATTATTATTAATATTATTGTCACCGCTGCTGCGAAGTTGTACTTGTTCGTCGTCCTGTCGAAACATTATAGATGAGATAGTCTAGATGATGAGAATGAATCAAACCACAGCCTTACCCTGCAGCCAAGCAGCGAGACCTCTAGAGCTCACTTACCATCTTGTCCCTCAACTGTTCCTATAGACTACTAATCAAGTTCCCACAAGTACATGTACATGCATTTGTCCAGGCACGAAGTGGATGGCCGTTCGAGCTGAATGTGGTGTTGTTGTGTTATTGGCTCCAACCTCTAGCCCTTTCGCAGTCTTCCTTTAGAAGGGTCATTGCAGGTTCCAGTGGCAAGTTACGATTTAAAAGGATATTGAATTTCACTGTCCATTGGCACAAAAGAACATTCCTTTTCAGGGCATTCTTGTACCGATAACGCTTATAGATGACCATCGTCATCAATTCGATTCTATTCGATTCATCATTCGACTCGTTTCAATTCAATTTGATTCTATTCGATTGAGCGACAGTCGAATCGAATCATTCGCTTAATAAAATTAAATTATTCGATGACATTCGAATGGATCCATTTCCAACCGGTATCCACGACACGTGCTGAGAATACCAAACGTGCAGTGTGTTGGGAACTCTAGACAAAGCTCCTACCGGTACCCGTACTCGTACAGCTGTACCCCACGGCGTCTCTATCGGGTAAGGGCTGCAACATTGACCAACGCTGTACACGCATGAAGAGGATCCCAACATAGGCCCATGTAACAAAAAGAAACTGAAAGTTTATTCGTACATTTACTTACACTTCCAGAACTGATTCCACCTTCATTTCATGTAGCCAGCTAGACTTCCAAATCCAAATGACCAGAGGAGGACAGTGATTTCAGGCCACTGTTCACTTTATTGATCAACCATGACACCCATCCAAAGAATCCCGAAGGAGCGGTGTTGGTGCTGGCTGTCTCTAGGGAAGCAATTTGTGGTAGCGGGATGTTGCCAGGAGTGAACGTTGGATACTGGGTTTGTTCCCAAAAGCCAATCCTTCCTGCAGCGATGCCGCCGCTGTTGCTGTCGTTTGGGACACCAATGGCAAACTTGGTGCCGTCGCCGGAGATGGCAACACCAAAACCTAAAACTTCATAGTCTTCGCCTTGAAACTCACCGCCAATTTGACGGTTGATCTGATACCGCTGCCAGTCATCGCCGTTCCAAACGTAAAGGGCTGCAACGCCAGCAAAAGGACTTGGCGGACTGACGTCTGTGATATTCCTAAAGGGGGCAGCGACCAACACGGAGAGTCGAGTCCATCGAGGTGCTCGATCAAAGTTTGAACTCGTGCACGTTCTCAACTCCCACGGAACCCTTATCTTGCCACATTAGAGATTGGGCTTCAAAAACCGATTAGAGCTAAGGTTGGAAGGTTTGTGGTTTTTTAAAATATCCGTGTCGATCATCGTCACCTCTCATCCAATCGATCCAAGCTTTATTGGACTGTCTTCAGGATCTTGGATGGATGCTTGATGCCTTCTATAGCTAGCTAACCTCAGCAAGAAAGGTTGAGGAGGACTAAGCCACAGATAGTCCAAGTGATTTCCATCTCTGTGGACGATCCTTGGTTTCGAAGTGTGTTTTTAGAAATCGAGCACAGCAAAAACAACAAAACAAAAATGGCCCTTGACTTTTTCCACAACCTGTGGGGAGCCCTTGAGGATTTGGACAAAGAGCGTGCTTCGGCTCCCAACATTGTGTTTGATCCTCACCAGCAAATTTTGGATAGTTATCGACAATGTGTGGCTCGCCAGCTCTTGATGCAAATGACTCGTCCGCAACAAGATTTGGAGTCGGGGCCGGTTTCTGTTGCCTGGGGAGCCCATAGTCTGTTGCAGACCACCACGACGGTGGCGGCCGACAGCAAGGGCCGTATCGGTCGACGTCGGACTCGCATCAGTTTGATTACCGGCAAGGAACTGTCCATTCGACAACGATTGGGGTGTCTCTTGGTCATTGAAGCCATTTGTGGAATGTACGGGGGCCAGCAAAACAAGGCTGAATCCCCTCTCTTTCCCCTACTCGTGGAAAACACACTCAAGAGTATTCAACAATTGACACAAGATGGACCTCCCAACATGCAAGCCGATGGATTCCTTGATCCGGCCATTTTGGAAAAACTCGTAGAGTCCTTCTTGCCAAACATGCTGGGCAAATCCCAAAACTACCAAAAGTTCGTGGATGAACTTCTCGCGGGAAAGGGTGTCAGCAAGGAAACCATGTCCGTCCTCGAAGAGGCCATTCAGCAATACACAACATCGATCGTCTATAATGATGAAAACTACATTCCACCTCTTATTGTTGCTAAAGAAGACCATGAACTGGCAGAACTCAAGAGGTTGTTGGATACCAAAGAAAAAGAACACACCAAAGCCAAAAATACCAATGCGGAGGATAGTATAATCACTTCTTCGCAGATTTTACCCATCAAACCAGAGTCTCTCATGCGTCATCCGATGCCACCCTTGGAGGCACCCTTTGCGAGACCCATGCCACCACCCATGATTCCTCTCTTTGGATTTGAGAGTCAAGAAGAACCATTGACTGAAGAAGAAAAAACGGATCTCCTGGAAGTCTTGCACGCCGAACTCATTTGGTTGACACCCAACAACCTGCGTCTCATGCTCATTCCAGAAGACGAAGACAAGGAAGATCAAGAAGCAAAAGAACTACAGTTTCGAAAGGTACTGCAACTGATGAAGACGCAGGCATTCCAAAAGACACTGGCTCCCAATGACCACCGGACAGTCTTGGAAATGCTCAACAGTGATTTGGTCAACAAACCGGACGAAGAAGAGGACGATGACGAAGAAGACGACGAGGAAGATGATGACGAAGATGTCATTCCCAGTAGACTCATTCAAGAATCCGGTCTGACACCGCAGAATCTACCCAAATTGGTCGAACAGAATCCTCTCATTGCCCATGAATGCCTCTTGCGAGTCCTTCCCAATGAACAAGATGATGTCAAGAACGAGTACTTGTCGGCACTGGTGGGGATGGACATGAGTTTGCACAGCATGGAAGTGGTCAATCGACTGGCCATGCACAATGTCTCCACGGACGATGACGAAGAAGATGACGACGACGATGAAGAACCGATTCTTCATCCGGAATACATTAGTCTATTCATCTCCAGTTGTATTGCCAGTTGTGAGAATATGCAAGACAAGCATGCTCAAAACCGATTGGTTCGTTTGGTGTGTGTCTTTATTCAAAGTCTTCTTAGGAACAAGGTGGTTCGTGTTGAGGTGAGTACATGACATCCTCTGGCTTTGCTGTGGATGAAATCATTGACAACTCACTGAATACCTCCTTCCTTACGCCGCTCATTTATTTATTTTGCAACAGGATATTTACTATGAGGTTCAGTCTTTCTGTGTTGAATTCTCACGAATTCGCGAAGCGGCGTCACTGTTCAAACTACTGAAAGCAATGTAATAAGCAGGGAAGCAGAGTACAGTAACAACCAAGCAATGAGGTAGTAGGGCAAAATAGAGAGACATTGCTGTGGTGAAAGAGAAGGTATTAAATTATATTCTTAATCATCGCGCCGGCTTGAAACGATAAGAGTACTGGTATCTGTATTTCGCCACACTCAAATTATTAAGCAACATGTCACTGTCGTCGCGTTCCTATTTGCGAGGGCGGGAAGACACCCCAGACTGAAGCAAACCCAAGAGACGGTCCATGGTAGCCTCGTTAGACTGGTCATTATTTGTTTCGTCCTTTGATGCTGTCTCGTCGTCGTCTTCGGCTTCGTGGCTATCCTGAAACGAAAACAACTTGGAGGCAACCGTTTGCCAGATGGGCGTCCCTTTGCGCTCCTCCGCAGTGGGAAATCCGCAGACGTAGGGACAATAATGTCGATGTGCGGCAAGAGGATTCAAAGTCTCTAGCTTTTGCTTCTTGGTGGGGTTTTCCTCCTTGTCGTCGTTGTTGGCCTCCGCAGCTGCTGATTCCATGCTGTGGTGATGATGATGAACACTGTGCAGATTGAATCGAAGCTTTGACAAGCAGATTGGGCAGTGCAGCAAGACGATACCATCTTCCTTTGGCACTGTTGTTGTCGTGTCGCTCTTTGTTGGCGGCGGTATCCAACCAAACAAGGCCAATGCGGCAATCCCTTCGTAGAGACTCTCCCAAGCACTCTGAGTCCTCGTGTGAGCCCGAATCTCCTCTTCTTTGGTCGGTGGATGCAAAATAACATCCAATCTCGACAGCAATGTTTCATGTTCCAACCCCAATGCCGTGTAAGGCCGTTTGCGGTTGAATGCCAATTTGGCCAGCATGCGACGCTGCAGCGACGTTCGGCGTTTTATAGCTAGATCAGCCTCATCATCGTCCGTGGTCCCACCAAAGTGCAGCACATTCTGGGGAATGGTCAGTTCGGGAATCTGCCATTGGGGCGGTCCATCGTCGGGGGAATGGTGGTCCTGGATGTGTAGCACTTTGGCAAGGGCATTGAACCGCGTCAAAAGGAGTCGTCGTGAATCGGGCTCTTCAATCATATCCACAACATTTCTTGGCAGAATCGATGCCATGTAATGCGGTACAATTGTTGTACTACTGGTTTGTTCTGGATTATTGTTGGTGATTGTCGTGTTGTTGTTGGTTACGACGAAATGCAGGTCTGCCTCGAATCGAAAGCGACAAGTTGGTTTGTGCGCCGTGGCCAGTTTCTTTTGATAGGCTTGAATGAGCTTGGTGATGGTGGATTGTTTGGTGATTTTGGGGTGGATCTTGACCACCAAGGCCGCTTGGCAGCAAACACACCGAAGCATGTCCATGGATGTGTTGGTCCATCTATACAGTACATTTTCAGCAATATACAACATAGAAAGAGACAAACATGAATGCAAGGTGGTGAGAAACATTGATTCGATTGTGTGTCCGTGTGTAGTTTGTGCAACAGTATCCTCTTGTCACACAAGATGTTTGCAGACACAAAAAAAATGCTCTTGGAAACACAAGAAAACAAACAAAGACTTGGCCATGCCATCTTGGCAACGGCCGTCGGCTCCGCGTCTTGTAAAAATAAATGCACAATCATCTGAACGTAAATCACGCCACCGAATGACGGCAGGCAGGTACAGATGGCACAGCATTTCATGTTCCCTTCGTCTTGCGTCACAACAAGACAAGACATGTTACTCACCCAAATCTAGCACAGACGAGGGGAGAGAGAGGAGTCGGTTTGCAAAAGTAGGTCAAAGGACGAAAGGTCTCCAATCTCGATCGAAAGGCTTCTCGGGACGTCAGCTTTTCAAGCTCATTTCGTTGCAGTTGACGAAGCCTACTTTCAAACGAAAGCTTTTCGGTGGCGTCTTGCTCCTTGCTGTTGTCGTCAATCCACGTGTCCAGCAGCGAAAGATCCACTTTTGTCACCACATCTTGATTCGTCTTTGGCGCTTCTTCCTTGCTCTTGCCAGAATCGTGATCAGCAGCCGTCATCTTGGCAACGGGGAACAAATACACAAACAGCAGGCTAGCTAGCTAGTATGGTAGGGCCTCCTTGCTACAGTGTAGCTTGGCTCTTCTATATCTGGGAGATGAAGGGTTGAGCTTGGCGGTTGTGGTTGCGTTGTGAGGCTGGCTTCATCGAAACAGCGTCGCAACACACGTGAAGACAGCTTCAATTCGTCACGTAGATGGGGCAAATTTGGGGTTAAAGTTAAGGTCAACTTTGTTTCTTTGTTTTACCTCAGCTACCTCAACTCAGCGTTATCTTCTTGTTACAGCCGCTGGATCTTTGAGAGAAAGCTTATTCAAGATGAGGTAAATATTGCTGTGGTTCCTCACGGCGCAGCGTTGTGACAAACCTCCAAATCCTCTCCTCCCATTTGGAAACTCCTTTTTGCCATCAAAGGACATATTTCAGTTGACAGATACCACCGGTACCCTGTCCTACACTGTGAAGCAGCTAGCGGTTTAATTGGAAGCTCTTACAATGAATTCAACAACAGCACTTCTATTCTTGGGAGGGGCTGCATCAGCAGCTCTCCTCCTTGCGATACTGCGCTTTCTATGGATCTATCGAGAGATTCAAGCACGAAGAAATGGCTATGATGACAAGGAGACCAGAACAGCATTCAGAAGCAAGAAATGCAAGACACTGGTGGTGCTGGGATCAGGTGGTCATACCAGTGAAATGCTACACATGGTCTCACAGCTAGACAGTGCCCTGTATGATCCAATTGTATATGTGGTGGCTGATACGGATCATACCTCCATCCAACGGCTCCAAGCAAATCCTGAGCTCCACAAGAATGACACCATTGTCCACAAAATTCCACGAAGTCGAGAAGTGGGACAATCATTTACGTCTTCATTTATCACGACAATCTATGCACTGATACATGCCATTGTCTTGACCATACAGATTCGACCTGAGCTGGTACTCTGCAATGGACCTGGAACCTGTGTACCGGTTATACTGGGAGCCTGGTTGATTCGAATGCCAGGATTTCCTTGTCAATTTCTGTTTTGTGAGTCATTTTGTCGAGTTGAAACTCTCAGTCTCGCAGGAAAACTACTCTATCCAATTGTGGATTGCTTCATTGTGCATTGGCAAGAATTGCATCAAAAATACCCCAAAAGTCCTCTCTCTTCCACTTTTGTGGTCAATCACAATCAACAATAATGAAGCAGATGAAAGGCGTACATGTTCCAATGTGAATAGAGGAAAGTAACAACAACGGCAGTGTGACTTGAGCTTGTCAGGCCCTTTGGCGATTTCTCCACTAGCTAGAATCGAAGGGGGTGACAAACGGCCCATAATCAGCGGGGAAAGAAGACCCTGTTGAGCTTGATTCCAGTCCGACGTTGTGAAATGACTTGTGAGGTGTAGAATAAGTGGGAGCTTCGGCACACATGAAATACCACTACTCGTAATGTTGTTTTACTTATCTCATGATCCCCTGTCTTCCCTTGAAACCGCCAAATTGAAGCGTGAGAATGGAATGAAAGAGGGCAAGAGAAGGACGCCCTCGTACAGGTACCGGTACATCAGGACGTATACCATCACCAAGAAAAGGCACGAAGGTCAATCCACAGCTAGCTTCGAGCCCTCCCTCGGGGCAATCATTGCCCCAGCTCCATGTCTTGCGTCGAGCGGTACTGTGAGACCTTGGCCGTCGGCCCTTCAGTTCAAATACCGGGATGGAAGCATACGCAAATCCGAGCTCTCTTCCAGTTCGGGGCAGCTAGAGAACAGTGTAACAGTCTATGGTAATAGTCGTTATTCATCTTTAGTGTTGTCTGTGAACACGTAACGATCCAATGACCCAATCTTCTATGAAACCCCTTCGATTTACGCGTGAAACCCGAACTAGCTGGACCAGACCTTATAACGCATCAAGCAAGGCGCTGGCGAGCTGCTTGAGGAACGTCTCCTGATGTTGCGACCAGGCTATTGGTTCCAGCAGTTCTCTCGCCTTGTCACACAGGTCGAGGCGCACTGGATCATCGTCTTCTCTGAGATTGGATAATCTCCAGCATAACTCGCCCATCCAGGTGTGAGCCTTGCGTTCCAGCTCGACGTGAAACACGCTGTTCTCGTCATCCAAGACCCAAGATTCCATTTCCTTGAGCACTTCATGATCGAAGTTATCCTCCTCTTCCATCTTGATCACCTCAAGCAAGTACGCGAGGGGATTGAAGAGTGGAACCCAAAAGTCGGATTCTTGGGAATGATCGTGAAACGAGTTGATGATGAACTTTTTGAAGATCAGATCTGAGTCTTTGGCTCGGTCGAGGAGTTTCAACACTTGAATCACCGGAAGGATAATTCTCAGCATATTGTCGATATCAGTTTGATCCTGCAGCGGGACGTGGTCGTGGATAACGATTTCTGCTTGTCTTTCGGCTGATTCATGCCGGCCGACGAGGTAGTACCACTGCACGCTCTCCGAAAAGCATTCGACAGCGTAATCGTAGCCGTAAAGCTGTATCATGGCTCCCGAGTGTTCGAGAACATCGTACACGTTTTGTAACTGCTCGTGAATTGCCAGGGCACGTTCGTAGTAGCCCTGTTTTGCAAAATACATGGCAGCCATTGCCAAAGCGCGGCTGATGTGCACGGGATGACCATCTTCTCTGGCTTCTTCGACAAAGATACGCACCAGGCCCTCCTGTTCTTTTCTGGTTTGCATATCCGTTGCTTCTCGTTCCAATTTCAATGCACACAGCGTAGAAATGATTGGCATCATCAGCGTTCGGCTCATTCCAGGAATCTTGGACGACGTCTTTACGATCTGTGGAAATGGGCATAGAAAAGGTTAGGTTCAACTTTTGGATGACTCAAACTCCATACTCGACAACGATGGCTTACCTTGTACGCATCCTCAAAAGTCATCACACTCTCATATTCATCACCGAGACGTTGGTGGCACAGACCTATTCTGATGTGAAGACGTAGAATAAGATCCAAGATTTCTGGGTGCGCCGACACCTGAACCCACTCGTCTGATGCAAAAGAGTCAAGGTGCAAAACGTGAGAAGGAGACTCAAACCAAAATTCACAAAATGCCAAAGGCCAGGGAGATTCCATACCATCACGACCGCCATTTTCATCAACAGCCTCAACGCTCTCGAACGACATCTCCAAAGCGTCTCTGTAGAGATCCAAACTCTGCATCGCGAGGTCCCATTCTTCCAGCCGCGATCCGACAGCCAAGGCCAGAGGTGCCGACTTGCAGAAATCGCCACATGCTTTCCAGTGGTCGAAAAGAGTAAGAAGACGAGAGATATCACACTGCTCAAGAATATGCACTTGATCTTTTTCCATAGCTTCCGCAATCAATCGATGGAGCTCAATCTTCCTCTCCTTGAGCATTGTCGTGAGCACCTTTTGTCGCCACATTGCATGACTAAACTCAAAGAAGCGATCGTCAATTTCATCCATGTCCATAGAAGTCCGGCTGTCCCGACCATCCATTTCATGAATTCCACTCCTCGAATCCGAGTCACAGCCCGTGGAACCTGAATGGAGCGAGACAGACTCATCCTCGTCTTCGAAACGTTCCACCAGAATAATCTCCTCAACGGCGTTGTCCAATGCATGCTCGATTTCGATTTCTTCGAGCTCGGGATGCACGCGAACAACGTCCGATAGCGAGAAGGAGAGCCCCAACACAGCGCAAGTCTGCAAAACCTTCCTCACACGCACATCAAGGGCATCAAACCTGCTAAGAAAAGTTTCTTCCATGACAGCACCGCTGTTGTACTTTGAAGCCATCCCTTTCTACTCGTGCAGCGTGCAACAAGAGTTGGTTAGGACTAGCGCATTCACACAGAGGTGCCATCACATAAACACAACGGAACGTACCTGATCTTCTTCGGCCTGAGCCGTCCAACGGAGAATTCCAGCATCGTCAATGGCCACCGTCTTGTTACGCTTGATGTTCTCAAGGAGTTCTGCGACATAGACGGGAAGACCCCCTGTCTTCTGGTAAATGTCGGAGCACAAAGATTCGTCAACGGCGTCTTCCCCGTAGCCAAGAACCTTAGCGATCATTTCTCTGATTTCAAGCAAGTCCAAGGGCCCCAATGAGATCTCGATCATTTGCGATTGCATGTGACTTTGAGTGATAGCAGTGGACAGACGCCGCAATGCTTGCTTGTCGTGTGAACGCATAGCGCAAATCAAAAGCATCTTTTTGCCTCGTTCACACAACTCTCGGAAAATCTTCCAAGTGAAGGAGTCCACCCATTGAAAGTCGTCCACAAAGATAAGGGACAAATCTGAATAGTTTGTAATGCATATGAATGCCTGTGAAAGGAACTCCACAAGTTCGTTGATTGTCGGAACGTGACCATCGACGTGAGTAACCGGGCTAGCACCATCCAGACCCAGAAACTGCGATCCGACAATGTCAGCATACTCATGAGGATACTCAATTTCCTCGCAAATTTGACATAGTTTCTCAAAGTATGGTACATCTAGCCGCACACCCGTAAGGCTCATGACTGACTCGTTGCCGTCGATGTCCTCCAGCTGAGGTTTGCTTTTGGCACGAAAAGTCTTGCGTGTGGATTGGTGTTTCATGAGTGAACTTCGTCGACTTTTCCTGCTAGTAGGTGTTCCAGCCACGGGGCCTATCGGCCCTGTCTTTGGCCACATTTGGCCACCGTGCAGCGACGAAGGGTTTCCTCCACCATGCAGAGACTGACTAAGGGAGGGTCGCCTGTTCAGAGCGCCGCCAGAAGCCTGAGTCGCCAGTACATTGGATTCGCGACGCTTCAGCGCCATCGAAGCTGGGTTGCCGTCAGGACCACCGCCATGGAGAGATTTCGCCAGACTCGCTGATCCATGGAGAGAAGCCCCAAGCGATCCACGATTGTGCCTCGACGAAGGTCCCGATTTGTTGAATGGTGCTTGTGGGTTTCCCATATTGGCCAACCCCAGCATCCCCATACCAGCGGATTGTACAGACAAGCCGCGACTTAGTTGGGGCTTTCCCAACAGACCAGAATGTGTCGATGCACCGCGACTTAGTTGCGGCTTTGAAAGAAAACCAGGTGCGCGCCCGTCAGTTTGGGCCCTCTGCAGGGACGCGGGAAGGAGGCTATTTGCCCTGTGGCCACTGTGGCTCGACAAACCAAGTCCGCTGTGGGTTGAGGTGCCAAGTGTGTCTACCTCGAAGGAGTTTCCTCCCTCCGTATGAAAAGAATCGTTGTGCATGGAGGCGTCACCAAACCTGCTAACGGAGTCTCCAAGAAGCGATTCGAGCGGCTTTCCGCGGTCTGTACGAGCAAGACCAGGGCGATAACCTGACCTGCTCTGGCCACGAAGAGAATGGTGGCCAAGATCTGAACCTGAACCCGACACACTCTTTGTATCATCGCTAGCAGTGACAGTTCCATCGTGTTCACAAAGATCGCGAATGGCGCTCAAGAAGACCTTGCGGAACGAACTGTTCATGATAGCGACAAACGGTGAGGACTGGGACAGCAATGCGCAGCCAAGGGACCAGCACGACGATCATACCTAAGAGGGATTCTCTGCTCTGTCTCTGTCGTCGTGGATCGAGCCGCAATGACCTTTCTACCTGATTTGGCCCAAGCCTTTTTCACCTCTTCTAGAATAGAAATTCCAAGCGCACTTTTTCCCATACCGCACTCACCCATCAAAAAGACCATGGAACTCCTTGTTGGGTCCGGCTCTTCGATGATCTCTTGCGCAATGGCTGCGATTTCATTTCTCTCTTCACGACGTCCAACAAATGGCACCGACGACTTTTTCTTTTTGGAAGCTGCAGCCATCAAGTCGGGTTCGAAAACGGCCACAGGATTGTCGTAGCCCTTCGCTTTGATGGATGGCAAATTTTTGAAATCGAACCGCGAACCAGCTTGGGCGCGAACTTGTTCGTCGACCAAGATGCCCTTGTTCATTTTTGCTGCCATCAATCGAGCTGCGAGATTTACGGCGGCACCCATGACAGCAAACTCGTGTCGACGGACGCCGCCAACAACTCCGCAATATACTTTGCCGAATGTTGCTCCTACACGATTGTCGACTTGGAGCTCGGACTTGAGGGAGCGGTGAATTGCGAACGTTGCTGGCAGTCCGTTGTTGGCAACCCTGATTTTGGCAAGGAAATATTTGTTTATCAGAGGGACTCGGGGCAAGAACCTGGATTACCGTAGCTCGGCAGGATCACTTACATGTTTGGAAACGTGGAACCTCGCAGCCCAAAGGTCGCGATCAGTACCACACCTGCAAAACGTGTGTCATTTGGCATCGTTAGCATGATGTAACATAACAAAACCAGGAATGAATAGTTGGAAGACGAGACACTTGATCCGTACCTTTATCATCCACAATGAATTGACGCAAATGCCCACTATACCGATCCAACTCTCTGGAAACGACATGCATGATGTCTCCCAACTTTGCGTACAGTTTGCCGTCAATGTCCCCATCTCCTGTAATTTTGGGGGTCATGACTGCTTTGATGAAAATAGTAAAGACTGATCTCAACTCGGCTTCCGCAAGGTGCCTGTCTTCGATTGTGGATTGTGGTGCAGCAATTTTTCCTTGCCGAATCTGTGCCGACAATGCCAATTCATCGTCTCGAATGACCGGGTGGACATAGAGTGCCATTTGCAAATGCAGACGAGCCAAGGCAGATTGATTCAAATCACGACAATGGGTTCGCAGTGCCTCGTATCGCGACATTTCGTTGTTGAGTGCGCTGTCGACTTCATCATTCAGGCTTTTATTCCCTTCCAACGAAAAGAATTTCTTGCCTCTCGCGGCAATCAAAGCTGGTGACGTTGCAACTTTCATTGCTTGGGGCAAATCATGACAGCAGTATGCCAGAGATGACAAAGCTTTGGGTGACGCGAGCACCTCTCCGTCGGTCGCGGCATCGGCAGCCAACGCTGCTTGATCAATCGGGTCTCCCATGACCAGGAATTCACGACGCAGTTCTACTCCTTCTTCATCGGGATCTTCTTTGTAATCCCCCACATGGAGACCCACAAACTTTCCAGCTCCGAGTCCACAATGCACGTTTAGAATGGCTTCTTGTCGGACTCCATCGACCATGGGCATGGCGTGCGGCATGGCCGCTCCTACGGAAAAGTCACTGAATTTCTCCACAATGGCGGCCGCGCACTTGGCAGCCGCCAAGACACAGGTTGCTATCCGTGGCATGTTATCGTCTTTCCCGTAGTTGTTGACATCCTGCAATGTGGACAAGGATGCATTCAAGTTGGACAAGGCACTGCTGGCCCCTCCCGCTTTGTTCATTCCATCGTCGTAGTCATTGACTTTCCATTCGGCAAAGAAGGCATCTCCGGCAAACTTGAGAATATCCCCTCCGTGTGAGACGACTTCATTGACAATCATATCAAAGTAAGAGTTGATGACTTTGGAAAGCGATTCGCAATCGAGCATGGTGGACAATTTGGTGAACCCCGAGATATCGGCAAATACGACGGCCCCCTCACGTTCGACGACTTTTGGGAGTTTGATCATGACGTCGGTGTTGGATTGTCCCGCTTGTAGCTTGAGTATGGATTCGGAAAAGTTTCCATCGTAGAACTCCATGCCTTCATCGGACAAGTCACTGACGGCAGATTCTCCCATGCGCGAGGACCCCATGAATGACTCTGACTCATCATCTCGAATAGATCCCAACAATGACTTCTTCTTGTTGTTGGTGTTGCTGGATGCTCTGCGATTGTTAGAATTGGTCTTGCTATTATTGCGATGGTAGGGGTTACTGCTGGAGTGATGACTGGAGCCCGTGAGTGATTGATTGAACGAGTTTCCCTTGCTGTTGGATTCTTCCAGTGATTCACAGGACTCCTCCATGATGGTCATGTCGACTCCTCGTTCGGCTTGCCAGATTTCGATTTCGTGCGAGACCAAATCTTCCAGTACAGTCCGGGGTGTGTGATGTGAGAACCATACGAGACTTTCTACGAGTGCATCCTTTTTGGCGTCGCTGCTCGTCTGCCGAATTTCCTGTGTTTCATCCATGACATTCATGAGTCGAAGGGATTCGTCTCCTCCCGATAGGTCATCATCCCCAAATCGGGAGTCATCGCCCAATGTTTCTTCTCCATCTGTTTCATCTTCGTAGAAGAGTGAGTTGTACGAAAAATCGGCTCCGCCCGCTGAGGATGCAGAGTAGAGAGCCGAATCCTGTGACAGGAGTGACTGTCGACTGGAAGCCGCTGTGGCTTCTTGCATGAGTCGTTTTTGTCGCTCCTTTTGAGATTGTTGTTGATGTTGTTGCTGTTGTCTTGCGCCTCCTCCTCGCCCTCCTGATCCACCACCACGTCCACCACCTCTTCCGGCGCCGGCCGCCAGAGCCATTTTTTCGAGACTACCTCTCCCGGAAGATTGCCGGACAATTCCAATCACACCACCACGACCTCGTCCCGCAATCTCTCGTGATCCTGGTGGCAGAAGCGACGCCGTGTTTCCTCGTCCTGGCATTCCCGAATCGCGTCGAGAGGCACGAGCACCTGCTGGATTGAGTTTGAGGTCTTTTCCATTTCCACTAGTGTTGTTGTTGGCAGCCGCTGCCGCGGCAGCAGCTCGTTGTTGTTGTCGTTGCACGGCTCGAGAGGGTCTCGCTTCGTGTGTGTAACCATAGGGATTGGGCACGCCACCACCGCCGATGCTATCTTCCAGCCCAAGGGATGATCGACGTCCCAGTCCCCCACTACGGGAGATGGCCGCTGGTTTGGCCAATTGATTGGCCGATGACCCGTTCATGCTGCCTCGTTTCGACGGCGCCGTGTCGTTGGGACCGTAATCCATTTGTATGTCGCCATTGGCAGCGCTGCCATTGTTATTGTTGTTATTGAGACCATTTCGTCGAGAAGTAGAAGAAGAAGCCATATTCATTGCTTGTCAATTGATCCAATCAATCACAGTCTAGGAGTCAGTCACAGAAATCAATAATTGTGGAACTAACAACCAATGCAATCAATTGTCTCCACACCAACAGCCAGCCAGGCAGATGGATTGCTGCGCAAACGAATCGAATCTCAATCAAATCCCCAGTCCAACCAAGTTGAGAAAGTCAATCACTCTATCAATCAAAAAGACCAAAGCGAAGGGATGGCACACCAGACGGAAAATCGCAATCAAGCGTTGGAAGGAAGGAGAAAAGATGGAAATGAAGTCGTCAACACCTCATACGTTGCTGCTGATCTTGCTGGGGCACTGAGGAGCCGAAATCGTCGTCTTTGTTCAGAGGGATATTACAGTTCGAGGGTGTGCTGTAGTATGTTGACCCACTCTTCAGCTCTAGCAAGTGCCACTTTCTTCGATCGTTTGTTGGTTTTTGGTTTTTGGTGGTTGCATCGATGTGGATGTCTCGATGTCTCCAGCGTTCAACACAGGAAGGGAAATTCACCGTCTCTTACTTTTTCTCTGCCTTCGGTTTCTAATGCCTGTGACTTGAAGGAAGCTTACTGAAATTACTTAATTCGTTAGGCTTCTATGAAAAAGTACAATTTAATGGCCATTTCAAGGCATTAACTCTTTGAAGGCTGATGTCTCAGCAACTTGTGCCAGGAGCTGCCAGCAAAAGGATGGCGCATTCGAAAGAAAGTTGCTGGGATGCTGTCGCACCATGGTTCATAGCGGGTTCCGCCTTGGACCTATCAAGAAGAGAGGCCATGGGGGCTACCGGTACTACCTGGTAGTACATCGCTGAATGATGATTGAATCATCATTCGATTTTTTTTATTCACTGGATGAAGCCGAGAGGCCTGCATTCTGCGCTAGCTATCATAGCTACCAGCGGGTATCTGAAGCATCGGTTTGCATGCATGAGAGACTGTCCTAAAAGCACCCAATGGGTGTCGCTCCTCGAAGGGAGTACCGGTATGGCACCTTGCGATATTGCTACAGTTCGCACTACCGGTACCTAGAAACGCAGGCACGGGGATGTACCGTATGATACTACCGGTACCGGTAGCCAATGATGCGATCAATAATGACGAGGACGAGCCATGGCACGACGAGAGGTGCGAATTCAACAGACTTTGCCGAGAAAGATCCGATTCTTCCTCAAGCCATGCCTTGAAACACAAGGCTCTGTTGGATACCGGTAGGTCGCACAAACCCAAATACCAAGTCCCATGCATAGAGATAGAAAGCAGCGTCGGAGTGTGGGGCTCAATTTTAGACTAGCTAGATAGCTAGTAGACTAGCTAGCGGAGAGGAAGATAATTACCAGTACCGGTACAGTGTACCAGGTACATGTACAGTGTAACAAGAACGATCCTAAAATATTATTGCTACTCGTACGTACGCGTTGACCTTGAAGCTTCAACATCATGATCTGTGGCGGTTGAAGCGTGATTTCTTCCATTCCGGTAGCATCCACCCACCGATCACTATCAGTAGCACATTCACTGCCTTCTTCTTTGAGTTAGTTTATCCCCCAACAACATGCTTTCCAGAATCGTTGAGCAAATCTTTGTCGTTGCCCTATTGGTGGCAGCAGCAAGCCCCAGTGATGCATTCACCACTACCGGTACTGCCACCAGGACTGTCAAGGCTTTGTCGGCAACTGTAGACACAGAGGAGGATATTCTCAAGCCCCCTTATGAGGTAGAACCCATTTCACTCCGTATTGGCCATGGATTTGATATTCATCGAATGGCTCCCATTGAAGTGGCAGGGCAACCAGTGATCATTGGCGGGGTGAAGATTACCCACAAGGATCAAAAGGTATAAAATATATATTTTTGTTGCGCCTAACTTGAGAAGTACACATCTTCGTCGCACTCAATACCTTCTTTGCTTTCTGTTTGATTGTTTGATAGTGGACTGATGCAGAAGGGACATATGTGGAAAAGGGAGGAATCTACGAAACTCAGCTAGGAGTAGTGGCCCATTCCGATGGTGACGTGGTCTATCATTCTATTGTAGATGCCATTTTTGGGGCTCTGACACTCCCCGACATTGGCCAAGTGTTTCAAGACACCGATCCTCGATGGAAGGGTTGCGATTCCTCCAAATTCATGGAACATGCCTATGAAGTCATGACGGGTTATGGATACAAAATTGGAAATTGCGATGTCACACTCATCTTGGAAAGACCCAAAGTAGCCAGCTTCAAACCAGCCATGAAAGAGAATATTATCAATTTGCTCCATACAACACCAGGTCGAGTCAACATCAAAGCTCGGACACACGAACAAGTGGATAGTGTGGGAGAGCTTCGAAGTTTGAGTTGTCATGTGGTTTTGACACTGGAAAGAGCTTAATAAAAGAAGAATGGCATGAACGCGTGCCAATCCAAACAGAAACAACAATACATTTGCAATCTACAGTACATGATCCTGCAGCCAGTCATGCAAACGATACTGTGCGTTCTGTGAGAGGAAGACTCGTAGCTCGGTATCATCTGGCAATAGAAAAACTTTCAAGTTACGGGTACCGGCACTTGCATGTCGTCTCAATCGCTACGCGTTGCTTTTTTCTTCGCTCTATTCTTTACTATTCACTCATGATTCATTCAATGATTCAATCATCTATCTATCTGCATTCTCCTCCTCATCGCTATCGTCCTCCTGCAATAACATGGTCTTGGCAATATACCGTGCCGTGGCTTCGGATCGCGGGACACCTTCTCCTAGAGCATAGCACGCCACGACATTGCGCCATCCTTCCCGACTTCCCAATTCCCCCGCTAACTGATACAGATCAAATGCTTTGGATCGATTCGGGGGCAGTGTGGGCGGTCGTCCTTGATGCAACATGGCACCGGCCGACACGGCGGCATCGGCATGACCCGCCTCTGCCGCGGCCACAAAATCCGCCAATGCCAATTCATAGTCTACTGGTGCGTGGTATCCATGGTCACCCTCGTGACGACAGGTTCCCCGTAAAAAGAGGGCATCGGGATGGTCTGCCGCACAGGCGTCATTGAGGAGTGTCACAAAGTGCTGTGGGGAACAAGGTGGAATGCCCAAGTCGTCATTTCCATTGAGATGCAAAAGGGCCAAATAGTACCGTGCCGGTCCATGGCCCATGGCGGCGGAGGATTCAACCAAGTCGAGTCCTTCTTGCAGAGGGGATGTGTTGTTGTTGTTGTTGTTGTTGTTGTTGTCATTGTCGGGTTGTATGGCATTCGTATGGTTGTCCAACAGGAGCTGCACCCCTACAAAATACATGGCATCCGGGTCATGAAGTTGGATGGCTTTGCGAAAGGCTGTCATGGACGCTTTCCAATCGGGAGCAAGGACAATATTGTTATCGGCAGGCAGCGTTGTTGTCGTGTCATCTTTTTCGTCATCATCTCTGGCAGGATACCCCGTCCAGAGCAACTGTCCCAGATTGAACCATCCTTCGGCGGCACCATTGGTTCCTGCCTTTTCGTAGTAGTCCAATGCCTGCTTTACAAATTGTCGTGCCTCATCGTTATGATCTTGTTGCATCCAGGCGGTATGGGCTTGTTGGAGTGCCATGTTTCCCAACAAAATGAGTGCCGGTCCATGTCCATGATGTTCGGCGGCTTGTTGGAGTAACTGGTATGCCTTTTCCCTCCATTCGTCTTCTGTGGATTGTTGTTTCTTGTTGTTTTGTGTTTTCAGCTCCTTGCGCGTTTGTTTGACGACCGTCTTGACGACAGTAACTCCCTTTAGATTTTTGGCCTTTGGGTTGTTGGCGTGTTCCCGTTCTTTAGTCTCGGCTCGTTCAATGGCCCGGTGGAGTTCCTCTGCCTTTTTGGTTTCTTGTTCTTGTTGCAATCGTTCGACTTGTTGCAATGCGTCCAGTGCTTCTTGGTAAATGGCTTGGCCTGGATGATCTTGACTACTACTACCATGATCGTGGGTAGTATCAGATGATGTGACTGTAGAGAAAAAATTCTGTCTTGTGGTGTTGTTGCCCATCTCCAGACTAGTCGACACCAACGCTATTTTGGACACCAACATTTTTCCTTGATTTGGCAGAGAGGACGAGTGATATCGTCGGTATCCATTATTATTATCCAGCAAAATGGAGGTAGAAATGGCAGGATATTGGGTACCGGTGGCTTCAGCTGCTCTTGAGAGCAACTTTTGTGGTCTTCCAATCTGCAATCGTCTCACGGCACCATGACGTCCTATTCTGGTTGCAGCAATCATCTTGTATTGCTTTAGGTTGCTTTACTTGATAACTACCAACAATCGGTCTCCAATGAAGCAGCAAAGGAAGAAGGTTGTTGTTGAGTTGTGACAGAAGAGCCTGATGTGAGAGCAGAAACTACCGTGTGGCTAAAACTGTGGCTAAAGCACTTTTTTGTAGTTTAGCTGGCTGTTTAGCCTGGTTTCAGTCACTACCGACGCTGCTAAAGGTCATGGCTAAATCCATGGCTAAAGAGTTTAGCCACCAGCCACGACCGTGGCTAAACTTGCATGATTTATGTCAGATTGGCTGCTGGTGGCTAAAGCGCTGCTAAACACCTTTTGCCACGTTCTTCTGCCAGGTGGCTAAAGCTGCAACACCAGCTCAAATAACAAGAGGCAACAAGAAAGTCTGCTTTATACAACTCCGCAACCGTAGCACCGTACTTCACTCCACTATTGCACATCTACTACTATTGCACCTCTATGGTATATCTTACCCATATACCGATCACAGCTAGCCATGTCGTCATCTTCTGACTCGTCTGAGGAGGCGATGGAGAGAGACATATATCTCTCAATGAATGCGGTTACACAAATGGTTTTTGGGGACGGCATGGTATCCCTGGAAGAAACGATTGATCACCGGCTCCTGCCGAGACGCCCTCGAAAGGAGTATGATCATGACCGAGCCTACAATTGTATCCAACAGGACTACCTAGGGCCGTCCCCAACGTTCGAAGGCAGGGAATTTGAGACGATGTTTCGAGTTTCACGCAGTCGATTCCAACGAATAATGGAGGATATTATGAATGCTGGAATTCCTTTCTATGCAGGCAACACTGATGCAGTCAACCGCAAAGTCCCTTCACTTGAGGCCCGTTTACTGCATCCCTTGAAAACAATTTCCTACGGTGTGCCACCACATATGCTACGGGATTACTTCCAGCTCTCCAAAACTATGGCACGTGTCTCATGTATTGAATTTGATAAGGCTATGCGTCAACTGTACCAAGATGAATATATGCGTGTTCCTACATCGAATGACTTGCGGAAAATCCATGAATTGCATCTCGCGGTACATGGCATCCCAGGACTATTTGGCAGTCTTGATTGTATGCACAATCGTTGGAAAAATTGCCCGGTGGCATGGCAAGGTGCTTACAAAGGAGCAAAGAAAGTTCCGACAATTGTCTTGGAGGGAATTTGCGACTACAACCTGTGGTTATGGCATGCGTCATTTGGCTATGCTGGAACACTCAATGACATTACAATTTTGGATATGTCTCCATTTCTCAGCCGCATTTTAAATGGCTCCTTCTCTGAGCTAGAAACGGCTAGTGGTGTCGTGCCATACTCTCTTTGTGATGAGGAATTCAAACAGTTCATGATTCTGGTTGATGGAATCTACCCACAATACTCCCGATTTGTTAAGACGTTGAGTGATCCAATTCTTCCTTGGGAGAAGGATTATTGTGCCTGGCAGGAAGCAGTCCGAAAAGATATCGAGCGGTGTTTTGGCATTTTGCAAGGCAAGTTTCAGTATATGGCCCGTCCATTTATGGAGCTGAACTTGGATCTCATTGGGAACCGTGTCAACACCTGTCTTTTGATGCACAATATGTGTGTATCCGATCGGGTGATGAACGGTGATGTTCGAGCTCTCTACGATCCAACCCAGAATGTGTTCCGGGGAGAAATTATTGTGGAGAACCCAACCGACTTGCAAACGGTACAGGGCGATGAAGAAGATCCACCGGAATTTGGCTGGGCGGCACAACCAAGGGAAGTACGGGAACAAATGCTTCGTCGTGCCCAATGGAATTGCCTATTAGATATTGTGGAGCATGAACGTCTCCACAGGGCAATCGTTGAATACAAAACAGGACATAAACTATAGTGCTGTTAATTTCTAGAACTAAATATCTAAACTTTGGTTTTGTTCTTTGGGTTGCTTGTAGTACCGCTGTTGGCATCATCCTCACTGTCGCTACTCTCATCGTCCATTTTGCTAGTCAATCTAGGCGCACCACTGGAGGTGCGACTAATATCATCATTGTTGTTGTCTTTGTTGTCGTCTTTACCGGTAGGTTTTCCGTTGGAAATAGAGGAAGCATCACTGTCTTCTTCATTGACAACAACCTGGGCTGGTGGCTTTTTCGGAGCATCAGCTTTGGCATTGGCCTTTGCCTCTGCCTCTTCCTGTGCCTTCATTTTGGCTTCGAAATCTGTCTGGAGCTGTGTTGCCTTGTCCAAATGAAACTCAAAGTCATTCATTTTACCAGCCTTGAGGAAGAGCTCTGCCAACTTGGAGTGCGTCTTAATATTGTTGCGATTGTTGACGGACTCCGCCAAAAGCTGCTGGGAGCGAGCAAGACTAGCAAAATGCTGATTCTTTTGTGCTTCCGCAGCACTTATAGCCTGTGCCATGGCATAGTCTTTTTTGGCTTGCTTTGTGCCAGGGGGGCGTGATATCTTAGATGCCATTGCCAAATTGTTGTTGTTTGATTTGGCTGCGGCAGAGCCATCTGCCGGTGGAGGTTTTGCTTTGGACTGAATTTCCTCGACTTGCTTTTCGGCATCCGCCTCGGTAATGTGTGGATTGAAGTAGGGGTAGTCGGTAAGATGGCCTAGCATATGTTCATATTTGAAGGTCGTGGAGTGCCTGGTCTCATATTCTGTCATAGCACAATTGATGTAATCTTGCTCATTATTGAATCCCGTGCGCTGTTCAGAATGAGCCCAACGGTAGCAAGCCATGAACTGGCGAAGATCCGCACTAACAGTCCTCCAACGACGCCTCAGCCCATCATGAGCTCGATTTGTGAAGCTAACGACGCCTTCTTCATCAGGCTCAACCTCTGTATTCGCAAAGGCAGAGTAGCGAGCTTGTACTCCTTTTTCCCAGAATTTTTTCGTATTCTGGCCGGCGCCAATAATGCTATTCGTCGAGGAGGCACAATAAGCACGGGCCAACCATATATCCTCTTGAGTTGTGAAATTTGTGGCACGCATACGCTGTGGAGTGGCGCCATCCTCATTCTTGACATCACCATTTTTGTTCCTCTTCTTCTTGGTGGAAGTCACCGGCTTGCCTTTGCCGTTTTTGCCTTTGCCTCTACCGCCTTTAGGGGCTTTCACCGCAGACGGAGGCTTCGTCAAAGTCTTCTTTACAGATTCAAGACCGGTAATGACAGCAGGATTCTTCTTGCATTTCCTCTCTGGTGTCCTCCTGGTGGGTGAGGAAATGTGGGCTTTGAGCTTGGCGGCAATTTCACTAGCCGCTGTGGAATCGTCGTCACTCGATTCCTCTTCTTCAAGCTGCTCTTCCTCATCAGGAGCCACATCTTTGGCAACTCTCTTCCTCTTACTATTACTACTACTCATGGTGTTGGTAAGAGTACTGGCTGAATAAGCACTGGTAAAGCTGGCGAAATGACAAGCAATGCGGAGCGAGGCTGAGCGAAATGGCGGCACGGAGCGAAATGGCGGCATTTTTAGCCTTCTCATTTTGCCTCTCTCGGTGGTGACTGGATATGCTAAATCTGTGGCTAAATCCCCGGCTAAAAAGGGTTGGACGTTTAGCAGCAGATTTAGTTCATTCATGGTAGATACTGCGGTGGCTAAAAAAAGTGAACTAAATCTGATGCTTTAGCCACAACTTTAGCCACCACGATAGCCATACGGTAGTCAGTGCTCTGAGTTGTTGTTGGAGTTCGCAAGAAAAATCCTGGGATTGGTCTGTCCGTCTGTCAAAAAGATCCAAATCGTATCTTTTTTTCGTTTCTCTCCTCTCCACAAAATAAAAATTTGGGTGATGGCCTCTCATTTTTTTCTTTGGAAGGTAGGTGTCATCCATCCAAAACAAGAAACAGGCCATCGATTGATCGACAGATTTTATACATGGTAGATCAACAACAACTCACATTATCACACAATCAATCAATCAATCAATCAATCAATTAATTAACAAACAAACAAACAAACAAAACAAATAATGAGCTCCAAACAACAACTCTTGTCTCCAGATCCTCCGTTACGTGTGGCGTGCGTGGGAGGCGGTCAATTGGGTCGCATGATGGCGTTGGAAGCGCCTCGATTGGGGATTGCCATGACATTTCTCGATCCCGGTGGCATTCAATGTCCGTGTGCCCAAATTGTCCCGCACGATCGCATTGTAAAGGGCGGGCTCAAGGATGCCGATCAATTGCGTGCCATTGCGCAAAACTGCGATGTACTCACGGTGGAAATTGAACACGTCGGTGTGGAAATATTGCAAGAGTTGGAAACGTCGGGTGTCAATGTCCAACCATCGGCCCGAGTCTTGACCATTATCCGGGACAAGTACTTGCAAAAACAACATTTTGCTAGTCATGGAGTGCCATTGCCACCTTTTCAAGTCACTTCCTCTGTCCAGGAAATTCAACAAGCGGCTACCACTTTGGGATTGCCACTCATGCTCAAAACACGCAAGGGAGGATACGATGGACGTGGCAATGCCGTACTGGAGTCCAACACGGAACAAGCCATTCAGGAAGCCATTCAAAAATTAATGCCAACATCCGATCAACAACAACCACAACCACAAGAAAACTTGGATATTTACGCCGAAGGATGGATCGATTATCAATGCGAAGTCGCCGTCATGGTGGTCCGATCCAGTAATGGACAAGACACGGTCTCGTATCCCGCCGTCAATGCCATTCAACAAGATTCCATTTGTCGATTGGTACTCGTACCAGTGCGGAACGTATCCATGGATGTACGACAAGAATGCGAACGAGTCGCCAAACAAGCCATTGATAGTCTCGGGCAAGGTGCTTCGGGCATGTTTGGTGTCGAATTATTCGTCACCCAACAGGGGCAAGTCCTACTCAATGAAATTGCGCCACGGCCTCATAATACCGGACATTATACACAAGATGCCTGTGCCATTAGTCAATTTGAAAATCATTTACGAGGCATTTGTGGCATGCCCCTGGGGACTACCAAACTCATTACCGAAGCGGCCGCCATGGTCAATGTACTTGGAGCCAAATCGGGAACCATGGCAGATACATTGAAATCGTCCAATCGAGCCATGTCCTTGCCCGGGGCCGTCGTACATTGGTATGGCAAAGCGGGCTGTCGTGCCGGACGGAAGATGGGACACATTAATGTTGTTGGTGATTCCCAGGAACAGGTCGATGCCGTTTTGGAAGAATTACTCGCATTGGAAGGTGTTCCAGTTTCCCTCATGCCCGGTGGAAAACTGCATGGTTCGCCTTTAGTGGGTGTCATTATGGGGTCGCAGTCCGATTTGCCCACGATGAATGCGGCCGTCGACATGTTGAAAAAATTTGATGTGCCATATGAAGTCGATATCGTCAGCGCCCATCGGACTCCGGATAAACTCATGGATTACAGTCGCTCTGCGGCGGGCCGGGGCATTCGCGTCATTATTGCCGGGGCGGGAGGAGCCGCGCATTTGCCGGGAATGGTGGCCGCCATGACACCTCTCCCCGTGATTGGAGTCCCCGTCAAGACATCGACGTTGAGCGGCGTCGATTCCTTGTACAGCATTGTCCAAATGCCACGCGGTGTTCCCGTCGCCACAGTGGCCATTGGGAATGCCACGAATGCGGGTTTGTTGGCGGTGCGCATTCTGTCGACCAGTCGTCCCACACTACGACAACAAATGATGGAGTATCAACGGGAAATGAAAGAAATGGTCAACGACATGAGTACCAAACTGACAGATCTGGGCAGTGACGAGTTTTTGCAGCAAATGGACAACAAAAACAAGGCTGTGAATGTATGATGAGTAGTGACGAACGATGTTGCCAGTAACTGGTAGAACTCGACAAATCCACACACATGACATGCTTGTGTCAAGAGAGCAGTTGGTGCATATTATTTTCTAACTAACGATTGCTTCTTATATTAACTAATTGTAGTGATCTTTCATCTATCATAGGTAACTTCTAACTACATTTAGTTTGTTTATCAGAGCTCCTTTCCTATCCTTCGCCGCAATTTAATTGTCCGGATCCATCCAATAATGATTTTTCACACCACTGATAATTTTAAAATGCTATTTCATTCATTCATTCCTCATCATCTTGTTGCTTGCCCGCCACTCGATGAGACTCTCCATCCAAAAAGGTATCCCAGTTCACGTCGTCATTGTGCGAGTGGCTAAAACCAATCGCCCGTTCTGCCGCCACAGTGTCCCGTGTTCGATAGGCCACAACGTAGGTTCGGCGTTGACGATCGGCACACGTATTTCCTCCACTGCCATGAACGACCCATTCATTGTGAATGGTGACACTCCCTCTCTTGGCAGGCGCCAACTGAATTGTATCTCCAGCCGTTTCATCGACTTGCGCACACAGAGCATGTGTCTCATCTCGATCCGACCCTAACGGTTTGTGGGGTCGCAATGTCTTGGCGACACCCGATCCTGGAATATAGCGCAAACAACCATTTTCGGGATCGGAATCGTCAATGGCCAAAGAAAACGTACACGTATCCGTCTTGGTTCCACCCAGTGCCTTGGACCCCGGCCAGTAGGCCATGTCTTGATGCCAGGCAAAGACGGCATCGTCCTTTCCCGGTCGTTTATTGAGGAATTGATCATAGTCCTTGACCATACTAGTACTGTCGTCATTACTAAATAATTGCTGTGCCATGCTGTTGGTGAGACGTTCGTAGATATTGCCTTTCAGAGGTGGATAGTAGGTTGTAGGAAGCATGCAATTGACAATGGACCACTCGGAATAGGGAGTTCCAAAGGGTTTGGACATGTCACAAAAATCTTTTCCAGGGACGGGAATATCGCCCGATGTAAACCGATCAAAGACGACTTGGAGTTCCTGTACTTCTTCTTCGGTCAGCACATTGTCAATCGTGACACAACCGTCTCGATGGAAGGATTCAATTTGTTCCGGAGTCAAACGGAAAAAATCATCACTGAGACGACCATACTCTTCTGGCTGCTGCTGCTGGTTGGATCCTCCTCGAGTAGGAACCCAAAAGGCGGGGTTGCCAATACTACTAGTGGAGGAAGAAAGAAAGGGAGACCCCTGGCATTCTCGGACGGTCGAAAGAAGTACTGCTGAAAGAATACTCAGCATTCGCAAGCCTAGTGTGCCTCTAATGGGACGACAGGAACCAGGATTCATCATGGGCTTGGGGAGGGCTGTTTGATGAAGATGGAGGAGAGAGACAGGCCAAACTGAATGAAGTAGTCTAGACTACTATTAATAGTACCGGTACTAGCTATCTAGCTAGGAAAGGTATACAAATATATACCCGGGATATCTTGCTTGTGGATCGAAGAGGTGTTGATTGCAAGAAGATCTTGGGTTGCGCATCGATCATCATCCCTGCTGAAGATCGCGGGATCTCTGCTGGCTTGTTTTCGTGCCAATGCTGGATCTGTACAAATGACGACTATACTCAGTCATGCATGAATCATCGAAATTATCGCTTTTTCCGCCATTTCAGCCCATTTCCTCCACATTTCCTAGAGAAAATCACAAGAAACAGACACCAGGACCAGTTGATATCAAAGGATTTAAAGTCGCGCAAGACTCGCATTTAATTGACTGCTTCCGGGTGCTACTCGCAAGAATAGCCAAAACTACGAATTCGCGGAAAACTCCTCCTCACTTCTTCCCCGGTCCCGAGGCCAAAAAGGAGAATGAACAAAGTCGACATTCAATCTTGCGTTTTTGTCACCGATGCAAGTGATCTCGGAGCCGGTTACAATTTCACATTTTTATGCTGTAGACAGCGCTTTGTCTACTAAAGTCGACATTGCACGGTCAAGGAAACATCTTCCTATGGCAAGCTCTTAGGCAACCAAACCGGTCACACGTAAATTGGAATCTCTCGATCGTTGTGGCTTCATACAACTGGTATCTACATGTACCTTTATTAGTAGGTCACCTCTTCAAAAAAGTTGGCAACCAGATCCCTCATTTTTCTTCTTCTTGTTGGACTGGAAGTAACAAAGTCCGACAAGCTCTTCGAAATGTGTCCGACCCCCAAGGACAAGGCGGAACCAGCATCCCCTGGCAGCGCCGCCTCTACCAAAAGCAGCAACAGTGGGAGCAATAATGAGGGCAAAGCCATTGATTCTTCGATGTATCCTTCGGATTGGCCCCAAGCTGGTCCCGTTGACCTCAAGATCCATGACTTGCCCCACTTCTCTTCGTCCATCGAATGGTGGTATGTGAATGCCCACCTAGACTTGCAAGATAACAACTCCAAAAAGATGAAGAAGAAGAAAGAGAAATCAACCAAAGAAGAAGAAAACGAGGAAAGCCAAGTTTCCGTTTTTGCCTCCTTCTTTCGGGCTGCTTCCGGGTATGACGAAGAAACCCATGAATACGTATTTGTTCACTATGCGGCTTGGGCCATCATGGATCATCGAACCAATCAGTACTACAATGTCAGTCTAGTCGATCCACGCTATCCAGAGCTGATCCAGGAGTGGTACGAAAAGAGTAAGAATGACCACACAAAAGACAATAGCAAGTACGAAGATAAGCAAATCATGCAGGCTACTATGGAAGTCGTCCGAAAAGGAAAGATGCCATATCCTGATCGTCTCTTGAAAAAGAACCCAACCATTCTCGGCAAGGATCTCTCGCGTCTCCCTGACAAGCAGAACAAGGAGTACGAACAGTGGCAGCAAAAACTGGCCGAGTACCAGCAACAGCAGACAGAACAACAACAACAACACCAAAAAACGGAATCGACTGCGAAAGCGGCAAATGCCAACAACAGCAAGAAGAAGAAGAAAAAGGGTAGCTGCTGTTTCCGAGCCAAAAGTGTCTTGAACTCGGTGGTTCATCCAGAATTGCCCTTGTTGACTCTGGCATATGACGACAACACGTTTGTGAAGAACAGCGATGGCTCTTACACATTGCATCTGGAAGACAACGACGTGCATCATGTCAAGGCATCCCTCACGTTCACGCCCAAAACGGATGCCGTCCGCAACGGCGTCAATGGTGTCGTGGATGGACATGGTCTTGTCCAAGATTTCTTCTACTATTGCTTGCCCAACTGTGACGTTACTGGTTCCGTAACTCTCCCCACGGATGACGACAAACCGGACAGATATGACGCCAAGATCCAAAAGAAGAACTACTTTGTCCTCGATGAACATGGCAATGCCTGTCAAGACCCTATGGAGACAAAGACACACAAAGTTTCCGGCAAGGGTTGGTACGACCATCAGTTTGGCTGCATGAAGCCTGATGATGGGCAACACAAAGACGTTCACAAGGACAACATAGAAGGGAAAGCCGGAACCCAGACGTCCTACTCTTGGGTGAGTCTACAGTTGGACAATGGCCACCAATTCTCCTGTGCCGAGTACTTCTTTCATAAAAGCGAAGAAGCTGAAGATCGAGCAAATGACAAGCCACATTACTTTGCAAATCTTTACACTCCCAAAGGAGAGCGAATTCAGTTGGATCCATCTGAATTTACATTCAAAGAAAAGGGAGATCCATGGGTGAGCATGAGAACTTTCTGTGACTACCCAGTTCACTGGGAAATATCTGTTCCATCCAGGAATATCCAACTTGATGTAAAGGCAGTATTTGACCAACAGGAGTTCCCCACCGTCCACTCGACTCCAGCATTTTGGGAAGGTTGTGTTGCTGTGACTGGAACATTTGGTGATAAAGAGATCAGTGGCCGAGGTTTTGTGGAACGCAAGGGATTTTGCCCTCCAGAGTCTCAAACTATCAAGGGCTTCTTCAAGAGAGTGACTCGGGAGACACTGAAGTCGGTCCAGAAGATTTTGCCTTTCAATCCCGAGGGAGAAAAGCTTAATGAGCTGGTAAGCCACAAGGATAACCAACACTACACTGACCACCTTGACAACCAGCAGTTCTCCAAGGCCTTGGTGGAACCCATCCGGCTTATTCTGGATCGTGGTGGCAAGTCTTGGCGATCTTATGTTGCGTTGGCTTGTTGTGATATTGTTGGGGGCAACAGCCAACCTGTCAAGGATTGGCTGGCTCTCCCAGAATTGGCCCATGTTGGTTCCATGATTGTGGATGATGTCGAGGACCGCTCTCTGATCAGGCGTGGTGGACCATGTTCTCACATCGTATATGGTGAGGATGTGGCCATCAATGCAGGCACAATGGCATACTTCATGGGCCAGATTGTCATCTACCAAGGTGATGGAGATCCCCAACAGAAAGTAGATATCTACAACATGTACTTTGAGGCCATGAGAGCTGCTCACTGTGGCCAAGCAATGGATATCCATGGGCTTAACTACATGATGTCAGATGTGGTGGAGAATGGTGGAGATCTGTGCCTCCAGCGTGTCATTGCAATTCATCGTCTGAAGACCTCTGCGCCAGTCAGCTACTTCACACGGATGGGTAGTAGGCTTGGTGGTGGGAGTGAGGCACAATCAAATGGCCTTGCAGTTTTTGCTGAAGCTCTGGGCATTGCATTCCAGATTGTGGATGATGTGTTGAACTTGCGAGGATTTGTTGATGGGTTGAAGACCAAGGGAGAAGACATCACAGCTGGAAAGGTCACATATCCTGTAGCTGTGGCCATGAGCCGACTCAAAAAGGAGGACAGGGCCAAGTTGTGGGAATATGTGTCTTCCAAGCCAGAGGACATTGAAACCATTGGGAAAGCTGTTGCTCTAATTGACAAGGTCAATGCCATTGATGACAGCTTCCAGGATGCCAAGGACACTATTGAGGAGGCCTGGCAGAAGCTAGATCCACTTGTAGTGGATTCCATGGTCAAACTCAATCTAAGAGCATTCAGCCTTTACATTCTGGATAGAGGCATGCCAACTGTTGGATAGTTCCTTCCTGTATTGGCGGTCATGGCCAAGTGTTCGCGGGAGTAAGGAAACAAATAATCTAGCTTTATACTGACATTCAAACTTCACCACCAGGGTTTCCATTCTCTTTTACCCATTGGATGACATCCCTGCACCCATAGACCCATGCGGCTGCCATGACCGAAGAACGATCCCAAGGACAGCAATTGCATGGGCATACTTCAATGTCTCCAAGTGCCCATAGTACGCAGCCCAGTAACAAGTCCGTTTGTCCCATGGGCAGCCATGTTCATGAGCAAACTTCAGGACTTCCAGATGTCCAAACTGGGCAGCATGGATACAAGTCCCTTCGTCCCATGGACAACCATTCTCATGGGCGTACTTCAAGATTTCCAAATAGCCACCCTTAGCAGCCATGCAACAGGTGTATTCGTCCCATGGGCAGCCATTTTCATGGGCATACTTCAGAGTTGCCAGATGGCCATTTTGGGCATGCGCAGCATTGACACATGTGTATTTGTCCCATGGGCAACCATTTTCATGAAGATACTTGAGAATATCCAAATGACCACTCCCAGCAGCATACATGCAAGTTTCTTCATTCCAGTGACAGCCATTCTCATGGGCATACTTCAATACATCGAACTGACCACTCTTAGCCGCAACATTACACGTGCCTTTGTCCCATGGACAGCCCTGTTCATGGGCATACTTCAGAGTTTCCAGATGGCCATTTTTTGCAGCATAGCAACATGTCCATTTGTCCCATGGGCAGCCCTGTTCATGGGCGTACTTCAGAGTTGCCAAATGGCCATGTTGGGCAGCATTGGCACATGTGTATTTGTCCCATGGGCAGCTGTTTTCGCGGGCATACCGCAATACACCCAAATGCCCACCCATAGCAGCATTTGCACATGTCCGTTCGTTCCATGAGCAGCCATTTTCATGAGCCCATTTGAGAATATCCATATTCCCGTTTTCTGCTGCTACGTTGCAGAGGACATAGGATTCTTCGTACAGTGGAAATCCTTTTTCACGGGCCCATTGCATCACTGGTGCGGACCCCACTTTGGCGATTGCGGTGCAAACTTTGTCGTGCATAGGGGACTTCTCGGAGAATTGATAGTTGTGCCAGTAGTCAGCAGTCGATACATTGTAGAATGCTGATGAGTAATACGTATCTCTGTATTTTGCTGGGCACCTTCCCCCCACGTAAAAATGCCCTCGGTGACAAGAGGAGGATTCTTGACAGTGTCACAGTATTCTTGATAAAGCTGTTTCCATTGCTTGTTGACACCGCCCACAAAGGCAAATAATTGTCCCATGCCTAGAAATGGAAGGAGCTGACCTACCGAAATCTCCTTTTGATCTACCAGTGACTGAAGAAACCTTCCGCTTGTTCTGGGATCAGCACTGTTGATGGGAAGAGCGGACATCTTTGCTTCTTAATTAGTTTGGGCTTTGGTTTGACTGGGTTTTGGCGTTGACGTGAATACTTTGACCTTGATCCTTGATATCTCTTGGATTTTGGCGAATGCTGAGGTTTTGTTGATGAAGACTCTTTCTGCTGCTGTTGTATGAGGTCGTCCGAACCTTCCTGTAGGACAACAACAAAGCTGAGGACGATGGATGTTGTTTCGTTTTTGGCTCCGCTGAAGCCTCCTTCCTTCTTCGTTCTTTCCGCACCCATCACAGCTTTGCTGGCTGTTGTCATTGGCCAAAGCGCTCCAAAGATCTTAGCCTGCTCATTCAATTTTTAGAGGACAGACCAAACAGATCAACTTTTGAAAAAGACAAAAAATGATGATAGCTTCACCGCGTCTGTTATCATTGGGCAACCGCTCCCTGCTTGTCAGATCGTGTCGGTACTTTAGCAGCACTACTACTTCCGATGGTCCATCATCATTTGTCCTGTCTCATCCGTCCACAGTGGACCATGGCCAAACAAGTCGCGGGCGCGTAATTGCCATTACAAGTGGCAAGGGCGGTGTGGGCAAAACCACAGTGAGCGCTAGTTTTGCATTGGGATTGGCATCCCGTGGCAAAAAGACGTGCGTGGTGGATTTTGACATTGGTCTGCGCAATTTGGACATTCATTTGGGCATGGAACGGCGTGTGGTCTTTGACATGGTCCACTGTCTGATGGAAGAATGCCAAATTCATCAGGCATTGATCAAAGACAAAAAGCGAGAACCCAATTTGAGTTTGTTGGCGGCCAGTCAAACACGCGACAAGGAAGTATTGACGGTGGCTGGTGTGGAACGGATTTTGGCCGAATTGACGAATTCGTTTGACTGTGTGGTATTGGACAGTCCAGCGGGAATTGAATCGGGTGCAAGACATGCCATGTTTTTTGCCGATGATGCCATTATTGTCGCCAATCCAGAATTGTCGTCCTGTCGAGATGCCGATAAAATGGTGGGATTCATTGATAGCAAATCCAGGAGAGCGGAATTGGGACCCGACGAATGTCTTCCCGTCAGCATGACACTCCTCATTAATCGATATGATGCAGAACGAGCACAAGCCGAAGAAAGTTTGGCCATTAATGACATGACCGAATTGTTGGGATTGCCGGTGGTGGGGGTCATTCCTGAAAGCAGGGATGTGTTGCCATGTACCAATCTCGGCAATCCCGTCATTACGCTTCCCGATAATGTGCCTGCGTCAGGAGCCTTTCATGACATGGTAGATCGATTCTTGGGAGAAGAAAAGGAGCTACGATTCACTACTCCAGAACCAGTATCCTTCTTCAAAAAGTTGTTTGGATAATCAATTGAAATACTGCTACATGACAAAAACGCTGACGACAACTTTTACTAATAAGAGTTTTTTAGTGGCAATCAAATGGCAGCAGGAATATATATAATGGGGTTCGATTCGTCGTGATCCGTCCTTGGTAGCGCGTCAGCTTTCGTTTTTGTGTTCGTACCGTACTGGGGAATATCGTTCCAACTCAGCACTGCTAGCTAGCTTGCTTTTGGTTTCGTTTCCATGGTCTCTTCCAATTCTCCTTGATTCTCGCAATCGCGGCAGACGCATCGGTTGGTGCATTGTTTGCCAATACGGAAACACTCACAGTACTTGCGGACACATCTGTATCGTAGAAAGAGCAGTAAGCAAAAACAGTCAGTCAGAACATTGATTAAGTAGATACCACATATCAAGGCCGCACAAAAGTTAACTTACCGATTGTTCTTGCAGGCGCATCCCAATCCAGCTTCTTTGGGTTTCACCTGAAACGCATTCGGACGCTTCTCCAGACACTGCTGAATGGCCGCTCGTCTCTGCCCGCCAGCATCCTCTTCCGTGTTGAGACAACTAATGCAAGTACACACTTTCGGGTCGCAGGCTTTACCGGCCTGGAAACAACCACAATAGAGCTTGAGACAACGAGATCGAATGCAGTTGCAAGCCAGTTGACCAGGAGACAGCTCCTTGGGAGGATTGCCCAATCCCGCCGTTGTAAAAGCTCGGGGGTTACGAGCCAGAATGGTACGAATGGCCACAGTACGTGCTCCATTGACGCCACTCTCCTGGACCGTGTTCTTGCAGTTGAGACAAGTGCAGGTTCGCGGATTGCAGCGACGACCTGCCTTGAAGCAATCGCAATACAGAGCAATGCAGCGTGACTTGGGACAGCTGCACCCACTGGGGTTCTCTTGAAGGGGTCCCATCTCCAAAGTTGCAGCGCAAAGCATGGCGAGCTTGTCAAAGTTCGCTGCCTGGAGTGGTGGTGGTGGCTTGGGCGGTTGCGTCGTTGCCGGTGATGGCGTCGACTTGAAACGCTTGTTGGCATCGAGCGGCACTTCTGTAGTCTGCGACGAAGGAGAGAGCCTCGAAGACTCGGCTGTCTCATTCGGACGCTTCTCGCCAACCTTGGAGTCACTGGGGGATCGACAAGTGACCGACGTGGAACTACTTGCTGTCGAAGACGACATGGAGATGGTCTGCATGTCGCGCTGGATGCTGTGGCGAACTGAATGGCCCTGAACTTCTCGCTGCTGCAGGCCGTGACGCTGAAGGCCCTGAATCACTTGGTGCTCTCGAATCTGCAACGGAACTTCTCTCTGAGGTCCGTGTTGAGCCTGAACTTCTCGGTGGTGGTCACCCGTGTATGGCTGATGGATCTGACGATCTGGATCGCTGCTGCGAACAAGAGGGAGGGCCTGAGCTCCTGGCAGGGCACTCTGACGACCTGGGGGTATAGCTTCTCCGTTCAAACTAACACTGGCCTGAGCATCGCGTTGAGCGGTTCGGTTGATGTTGGCCTGGGCCTCGCGTTGGGCAATGTATAGATCATGCGATGCTCCCCGGGTTGATACCGTCCTCACTAGCTGCTGATTGTGCTCGTTGATCTCAGCGACAGATGGGAAAGCCCCACGAGACCAGCTCGGTGTTCTGAATACCACAGCAGTAGCCCCATCCCGTGTACCAGCCCACGAAGCGGCAGCGCTCAAGTTGACGGGTACAGCTTCCCTTGCGAAACCCCTAGCATCGCGCAAGACTCCTGCAGGGACAGGACGCTGCCATTCATCAGAGACAGGACGCCACGTGAGTTGCTCAGGGTGTCGAGGAAGTCTGTGCTGGGGATTGCCCCCTCGATAGGAGACACTGGAAAAGGCCGAATCGGTGCGGCCGGGATGGTTGTTCCATTCGATATAGCCTTGCCTCCTGGTTGGCGGCATTGGTATTTCAAGTCCCTCGTCACGCTCGTCATCTCGAATGCTTCGGAATGGCCGTGTTTGGTCGTTGGGACGATAACTCATGCGTCTTCCTGTTGTGGGTTGATTGTCTTTGGTTTCGATGAACGACTGTGATGCTACGGCAAGAGGCACTGATCTACCGGTAGAGTTCCACCTCGTTCCAGCTCTGATGTTTGGTGTGATAGGGTTGGTTACGGCCCTGAAGTTGTTTTCTTGCTGTTGTCGGTTGCCTGTGGCTGTTCCCAAGGATAGTTTATTGACGTTCTGCATTGCTGACACCCTTTTTGTGAAGCCTTACAGTCTCGTCGTCCAACTCCAAGTATAGTCAATGGCAATCGGAGACGCGGGTTGTCAAATCAAACCAATTTTCGAAGCAATGTTTCATCTTTCAGGTTTTGGTTTGAGGAAGCTTCCTCAACGACAAATGCACCTCTTGGGTCTTGAGACTTGAGGAACATGAATGGCCACCCATTTTCAAATTTTGAGCATTTGCGGTGCATCCAAGTGCAGTGCAGTAAGGGCGCCGTACCAATGTTGGGGATTGAAACTTTGGATGAAGAAATTTCCAAACGTCGACGAGAAGGTACCCACATGGCTATACATAGGCAACAGAGACTCCTTGTCCCACTCCATCATGCGCAACTCGGGTTTTCCTCGATTAGCTGCATCCAATGCCGCCTTATGTTTGATGCTAACCCATTTGAAGTTCCTTGGTATTTTGAGGTGAAGCTCGTCTGACTCTCCCACCTCCACGGAAGGGCCGTACGGTAGATTGACAGACAGACAGCTCCAGCAACTCCCACCACAAACACCTCTGAAGAACGTGCCGGGGCCACAAATCATCTTTTGAAACGTAAAACTCAGTTTGTCAAAAAAATTCTGCTATAGACTAGTGTTGATGGTACGGTACATGTAGCTAGTTGTTGGCTGTCTGCCTCCTCAATCTTCCCACTCTCCGGCTCCAATCAAAGCGGTGGTGGGCGTCTCCTCTTCGTCTTCGGAGTCGTCTGATTCCTCCTCCGTCTTGGCTGCTTCCACCTTTTTGTCATTCAATTTATCATCTTCCTCCATGGGTGTTTCCTTCTCCATGTGTTCCTCTCCAATGACTTCTAAATCCTGTTGGACGCCCTCCGCAGCAGCCGGCTGTGCTTGTTGTTGTTGTGCAATAACCTCCTCCTTGAGTTCGGGCGGTGCTACATAGTGGGGCAACCTTCCCCGTTGAAAGTCGTTGATGAGTGTAATGGCGGCACTCCTCATGCAGGGATCTCCTCCCTTGAGCAAGCGTCCCGATTTGCGGGCAATCATTTCCATCAACTCGTTGGCAGTCTCCCACGTGTCACCACCTTTGTGGGAGAGTCCGTACTGCGCGGCAATGTGTTCTCGCTTGACTTTATCGCAAATGGCCTGGATAAAGTCCTCGGGATATTCCAATCGTTCCGCTCGAACGACTCCCTTCAAAACGGAATCGGTTTCGGTATCTCCGGCCGTATCTACTACCACCCCGGGGCAATCAATGAGTGAGATTCGTTTGAAGAGTGTAATGTACTGCCAGATTTTGGTTTCACCGGGAATAGGAGCCACGTTGCAACTCTTTTTGGAAATGAGAGTATTAATGACCGAACTTTTTCTGTAAAAGGCAAGTGAATTATTGGAAGCATGAGGACGAACATTAATTTTGTGTGAGTCAAACGATTGTAACAGTTGCATGTGTTTGTTGTTGTTTTGTAGTACTCACCCCACATTGGGATATCCAATGACTCCCACACTGATTTGTTTCTTGTCTTGGTGCAGTGTTCCAAATTGTCGCAACAAACTAATCAAGGCTCCCTTTCCAAAGGCATTAGTGAGCGAGGAATGAAAGGCAACGGTGGGTCTATCCTTGGCCAATTCTCCCATCCATCGCTTGGCGACCCAATTGGGTACGAGATCGACCTTGTTGAGTACAAAGACCAAATGCTTGTGTTTGGCATGTTTGTTAATGTGTCGTTCAATCATGGTACAGCGGGTCCCTGGCACATTGCGGGCATCCATGACGTGCAAAACGACATCACTGCAATCTACGACCTTGAAGAATTCTCCCCAAATGCGTTTGGATTGTCCCTTGAGGAATAGATCGTCCTTTTTCTCGTGTCGCCAATCGACGCCTTCGCCGTCATGGGCAGTCAAATTGGAATCGCGTCCCCACGGAACAATGCCTTCGCGGGCGTTGATTTCGTGGTACGTGGCATGACTCTGTGTGGCGGCTTGCACGAGTTTGGCATATGCCTTGGTGTCGTCGTCTTTTTCTGTGTCGTCGTCGTCATCGTCATTATTAATAGTGTCGTTGTCGTTGTTAGTGGCAACGGTAGCAGTGGCTCCTTGCATGATTTTGGTTTCTCCTTCGGCCGTTCCAATGGTATCGTCTTTTTGATCCGCCGATCGTCCCATCATGAGCTGATCTAGTTTGACTCGCTTTCGTTGACTCTTGGCGCCAAATACTTTCTGAAATGGTTCCTGTTCCAAGAGAGCCGATTGGTTGGTCTTGACGTATTCAGTCGCTTCCGTCAAGAGCCCCAATGGCAACTTTTTGCGTTTGAGCACCACCGAATAGGGATCGGCCGCTTGCTCCGTCATTTCTTGTCGAAATTGATCGAGTTGGGTGGATGTCACCACACGGGTATTGCCAAACCATCGCCGATCGGGTTGAATGCGTCCCGTGGAAGCATCGATTTTCCGATCTCCCGCACGATCGCTCATCATGTGACTTCCACCCACCACTCTGCCGCCCTTGTTGCGAATGGGCTTGCCGTTCACGTACATTTTCAAACGTTGAATCGTTTCCGCCGATCGTTGACTCGACTTTCCATCCTTTTCCTTGCGACGGCCCTTGCCCAATTTCGAAGAGGCGCTGGTGCGGGGCAATCGATTGGTGCGAAGGGCCGAAACGGCGGGCTTTCTACCCGTGGGCTTGGCGGATTTCCAACCAATCTTGGCCATGGTTACTGTGTTATATCAAGCAATTAGAATAATAGATAGAGGGAGAAGCAAAGGCAACGTAGCTTCTTGGAAAATGATAAACTGACTGTGGGAGGGACGAGAGACCCAATTGCTCAACAAGAAGGTTGGAAGGAAGAAAATGAAACGAAGATTTTCTCGGGTGGCCGTGGGAACCTCCCAATCACGGATGCCAGTCACGTGGTAAGGTTATGAGCTTTCATTCAGCTAACCTCCGACGCAGGTGCGTACCGCACATGCAGTACTAGTACTAGTAGCCGCAACCTCAGGTACAGAGGTGTTTGGCTTGTTATTCTAAAGAGAGACAAGCAACATTTCTGCGGTGCAGTATGAGCTAACACCAGCCTACCTTATGCATACCAGGAACGTGTCCCCTATAATGACATATGGTGAATCGTGTTTAAAAGTACTTAATGCTTCAAATCGTATTTGCTTCGGAAATCGCGACTCGCCGGCGTGATGAATTCGTTTTTTTTCATCATGACTGTGATGAATCGCTGATGAATTCATGATGATTAATGCTGTGATGAATTTAATGTGATGATTAATGATGAATTAATGATGAATCCATGATGAATCCATGATGAATGCTTCTCTCGCACCGCTACAAGCACTATCGACCACTACTAACAAGGCAACAAGCAACTACATCATTAGAGACTACAAGTAAGGATCGTAGAGGTTGATGGAGCGGTTGTCGAGGCCGTACTGGGTGACTGAGGCCACCGCTTCCATCGCGTCCTTGTGGGCAGCAACTCCATGCCTCCACAGCTTCTTGTTGACGCACTCCCACTGCTTGAGCAGCTTATTGAACTTCTCTTGACGAGCCATCACTCTGTCCTTCCACTCGGCAATCTCTTCAGGATCAAAAGGATTGCGATGACTGATGATTGAAGACTCCCCTTCATATCCAGCATCACCCAAAATTCGCTTGTCAGGGAGGTGCTCTTGCATCTTGCCCTTGAGCTTCTTTTGGAAGGTGGCAATATCGTTGTACTTTCCTGGTCTGATGGGCCCGTAGAGCCAAGCTAGCCGCGGCTTGTGAACCATCAATGCAACTTCATACATGACACCTGCATTGTCACCGAGCTTCCAGCTAGACCATTCAGTTGAGAAGGGTCGAGGCTCTTCAATCGGGCAATGTGTTCCATCGATTGACAAGAGAATAATCAGCTCTTCATTGCTTAGTTCCTCCCAGGTGGGTAACTGAGAACACAACAATCAACCATGAGCGAGCAGTGAACGTGAATGACAACAACAAACAACCTCCTTACCTTTTTGATTAGTGTCTCAGCAATTCTTGGAACCCATGTCTTGATGAGCCGACTGATAGTGTCACTCTTTCTTATTTTGAAGTATCGGCCGATTTCATTTTGGGTATCATAATTCCAAAGGAATCTAAGAGCAACCAGCATGCCGATGGTTGCTTGTTTCTTTTCTTTCTCCTCGAGCGGGAGCATTGAGTCTTCGTTTGCAAGGATATCTTGATAGATTTCGGAGCAAGTAAGTGGTGAGCAACCATAGCATTCTTTGAATTTTTCAACCTGCCTGTGATCTTTCCAGCGTCTCCATCCTCGTCATACCCTGCTGTTTTCAAACCAAGAGCAAGGAAGATTTCCTTGCTGTTTGGTTCATTCGGAGGCCCATCCATGATTCAAGCGGATTGATGTTTGTGCAAGAGAAGTGCATTGGTTGTCGCGCCAATGATTCAATCAAGATGGATGCTGGAAACCACCCGGCTCTGTTGCTGTTGCCGGACGGTCACAGTCAGACAGCGCGGCATCGGATCCCTACTCAAGGATCCGTTTCCGAGGAGGAGCGGCCAATTTTCTTCTTTATACACGAATATTAAGGAGAGCACGGTACGTTCTTTTCACACAAAAGCTTCGATTTGAATCACCAACCGCGCAAAATAGGCGCCAATCAACCTCACTTTCTATGCAAAAGAAGATTGCTCAAGAAAGCATTGCTTTGCTTCTTCGCACTCCGACAATCCTCTTCTTGACATAATGCAGTTGGACGATCTCTCCAAAGCCAAGCTTCATAAAGATATCGAGGACCATCCGGACGCCTCTTGTGAAGACGTTGTTCGGCTGCGACCTAATCTCTACGGTGGAGTTCTCTTGAATAGCGTGCGCAACCGGTTCCATTATCTGAGACGATTGAAAGAGCAGAAACCCAAACAATACTGGAAGATTTATGCTGAGGCTTGTTCGTATGCTCTTAGAAAAGGCGTTCCAGTAAACGAGACGGAAGAAGATAGAGCCTTTGACGGTGTGCTTGAAGAAGAAGAGACGATTCCTCCTCCAGCTGTTAGCAACGAGACTGTCACTGCTCCTGCCACCAACAACTTGGACGACAGCCATTCCAATCTGAAGACTTGGGGCACTGCGACCAGAACCAGACGAATCTCTACACGCTCCCGAACGGCCGCTGCTGCCAAGAAGACAGACACCTACGCCTGAAGCAGTAGAGTCGAACTCTACTCCATTCCAGCCAACTACAACACCACCACGCCCACCTGAACGACGTAGTTCAACTACGCCAGCTCCCTCGTCATCGAACCGCCGAGGAAAAATGTCATCTTCTGTTCGTAAAAGCAAGAAGAAAGCTGCCGAAGACAGCACCAGGGAATCAGCCGGTTTCTCTCTATTCAAGAATATGACGGAAGCGGAAGAATCTGTCGATTGGGTTATTGATATTGACACCGACTACCCAGAAAGCCATGGTCACGGCTTGTCTGTCCATTGCATTGAACAAGGGCTGCTTGTGGAGAATGCGTCTGGTAAAGTCAAGGCCGATACTCTGAAGATCTATCTCGAGAACTTTGTCGATTTGAACGATTACGATCATTACCAAGGCACCATCGTTCTCAAGGGCGAAGGCTTCTTGATCTCGAAGCCGTCGACTCCATCCTACATGTTGAACCATCATCAAGATCTGCATGCCCTAGAGAGCGAGTTCAATCAGAACGTTGCTGATGAGCATTCAGCATGGATCACTGCCATCAACAAGGACAAGTCTCGACAAACCAAGACGATTCTACTCGTGATGCCACAAGGTATCACTGTCACCACTGACATGAAGGGCCTCGAGCCGAAGGCACCTGATGGCGACCTCTACTGCAAGCTCCATCTTCGCGAGCTGCAGTGCGAGGATAAGGTTGAAGAAAGGGCCGTCGAACAGCTCTTCTTTCCTGGCTTTTGGAACCTTCGCATTATTGAAGGAGCTACTGAGATTGAAAAGGCTACGGAACAGAAGAAGAGTCTCCTCAGTGCTTTTGAAGGTATGAAGCGCCGTGCCAAGCCCAAGCCCAGTAGTTGAATGGAAGATCGCGAGAGGAGGCTTATTATGATGGTTGTTTTGGCTTACTAGCAGCGATAAACTAATATTGTGTTTGTTTGAACGTTCACGTGTAGGCTGCCGTATCCATGATTCTCGTGTCAAGAAGACTAGAAAGAAAGCAAAGCAGCAGCAGCCAATGACTATCGAACAGCAGCCAATGGCCATCGAACAGCGCACATCTCCCCCTCCCCGGTAGCACGGCTACTCTTTCGCTCGGTATGCTTTGGAAGATGTGCCAAGCACTGCTGTTACTACTAGTGGTGGAGCCGAGCCTGTCAAGAGCATTTGGGGACTCTTATCTGCATCGACCACAACGACACCACCTCGTCCTAGTCTTCCTCGTCCAATCAAGGAAGAATCGCCTTCTCCCATCAAGCAAGAAACGCCTTCGCCTCCACGAAAGCCAGCACCAAAGCCAGCTTTGAATCTCTTTGGATCGCCAACCAATGAGCCCAAGAGCAGCACTCCACCATCAGGTTCCTTGCAGAGGACTCGCAAGAATGCTTTCAAGCAAACTGTCAACAGCGAAGACCAACGCAGAGCTCGCGACGCATCTCGAAGAAAGAGAGGCCAAAACAAGAGGAACACTGCAATCAATCGAGCTAGACGTCAACAGTTAGCTGACAGACTTGCAATGATGAAAGCACAGAACGAAGCTGAGCTTGCCGCCGCTAAAGAGATTGCCGAAGGGATGAAGAGTCAAGGAGGAGATAGCGAGGGAAGCCAGCCCACTGCCCCAGAAGGCAATGGCGATGATGAAGCTTTCTTCGATTCTATCGAGAAGGAATTGACCAACGACGTCAATACCAGCATGAATACCGTCTCGTCTGGTGGCTACGCCTCCACAAGTGGTGGTGTCTCTCCCTCTGTCTCTGTCACTAGCAATGGAACGGTCAAGAATGAAGGCTACAAGAGTGACGAGGAATCCTTGGTTTCTATTCAGTCGAATGACTCTGTGTTTGACAGCAACTAGATGTTGGTTGTCTATATTGTAGCATACAGATTAATATATAAAACAATGATTCTATTTGCTGTCCAATGCTACCTATTCATTAATTCGTTAACTCTCCTCATCTCGTGGATACCCGTCATGGTAAGTTGGCCCACCTTCAACTACAGTTGCTGGTGCACGGAGCTTCTGCTTTGTCTTGGTTCTTGAATTCTTCTTCTCAAACCTAAATTGCTTTCTCTCTCGCTTTTTCACCTCTTGGTAGAGATGATCACGAAACACTTTGAGCTTGTATTCTCTGTATTCGACTCTGGACTGATACAGCTGTCGAGGCTTGATCTTCTCTCCTGTTTCAGGGTCAATTTCAAGATGCTTCTTCTCATCGATGTCTTTTTCAAGAAGCGGTTTTGCCTCGGAGCGATGCCATGGGACTTGCACAGGTGGATTGTCCTTTCGTATTTGGAGGATGATTGCCATATCATGCCATAAGCCTCACAGTCAACAAGGAGACGATCGTAGTCTCTCAAAACAGACTTGATGAGATTGGCCATGTTTGTTTTGAAAAGGGCAATGGGAAAGATTTGCCACTCAATGCGCCTTTGGTGAACCTCAACCGGATCGGAAAACTGCGTCACTTCTCCTTCAATAATGGCACTGAGAAGGAGCTTCCTTCCTTCGCTATCCTTCATTTTGGGGTGTTTGTCTTCTTTGTTGGATCATTGCAAGATTTGATGAGGTTCTCCGTATTGCGTTTGAACTGTTTCCACTCCCATTTCTTGTACTCATCATGGCTTTGATGCAGCTGCCGGAGGTCGGTCTCTTGGGTGATATGCCGCAGAGTACCTGAAGTCGGAGGAGCTTCTGCTGTATATCTCAGGACCATGGACGGCTCATCTTGGTGTTGCTGTGCCTCTGCTTGTGCTTGTTGTGGTTGCTGTTGCTGTACGGGGCTGCCTGTCATGGTGATGAATCGGTGATGAATCCGTGATGATTAATGCTGTGATGAATATAATGTGATGATTAATGATGAATTAATGATGAAATTCATCATTTGGCGATGAATTCATGATGAATCAATGATGACGTCAAAAAGCTTTGCCGACTTCAAACTGACACTTCAGTACCGGTGCTTAAATCTATTGAGTCATAATGACCGCGATTCATTATAGGGGAAACGTTCCAGATGATTCCAATTTCCAATTACTCGAGTAGCTCCGAGTGACCTTCATCATTGAAAAATAGGATTTATAAGAGGAAAACCAGCTATTTCTCTTTGGGACATTGGAGACCTCATGCATTAATGGGTTCGTGTATATGTTGTACTTATTGTGAGCCCAAATTTTATTTCTCCGAGATCTCCGATCTCCGCGGGAACAAATAATATAGGCAAGGCACATGGCACAACGCACCACCTCCCCTACCGTACAATTCCCACAACTCCAGCGCCCAACACTCATGACTCTAGCTAGTAGGTTGCAAAGGAAATAATGGGGTTGGAGAGTCGTCGTTTTGACGTTTTGACTGCTGCCCCAATGGGCCCAACAATGCTGACTCAATGCTGACAGTGAGCAACAGTTACTCAGTACACGTGTAGTTGCTTTTTGATCATGAGCAGTCTTGACGTTGAGACTAGTCTACGATCTGTAGTTGGCATGCATATGCTATAGTTTCCCCCGCCGATTAATTAAACATCTTTGGCCAATGCTTAGCACCTCAAACTGAACACCTTGATCTCTGTATTCCGTTTTTTAAGTATTGTTGTGTGCGCTGTTGACAAAATAAATTCGCCAACATGATGCCCATTTCTGCGCGGTATGGAAAGCCGTGTCGCTTGTCCCGCCCGGACATTACAATACTGGTGCAACTACTACTCATGACAAATCCAACAGCCACATGGACTGGATTCACTGTTCATACAGATTTGATGCGCTGTCAGAATCACGATTGAGGCAGCACTGGACGCTTCACTTTGGAAGACGATACCAAGCACACCCCTCCACCTTTTCTAATGCGTGAACTAACTCGTCAAGCTTCAGTGATAAAAGGCAAAGATCCGACTCTGGAAAAAAGCAAAAACAACTGCAATCGAACGCTCTGCCACTGAGCTATAGACGCTACGGTGATCAGATCACCAGCCAAGCGCCCACCGTGATTTGAACACGGGACCATTCGAACTCTGCTGGCAGGAATGCAATCAGGACATTTTATAAAACAGATAATTCATAACTGACACAACAGAAACCCGAGCTAGGCACCTGGTACCGTTAGATGTCTTTTGCACCCCAAAATTATCCGTGCCGTACCTGGTGGTACAACTTCACCGACCATCACCCCCAATGCTAGCTAGCTAGAACCCAGCTGGTTGATTTGTCCTTGCCGCACCAGTCATGTATCCTATTGCTTGCTGTCGTAAAAGAAGAACAGTGGCCAGGTTTGTTGGCTATCCATTCCAGGAAACAATCCTCTATAGACCGACCATTCGCGCTACGGTACCCTACCGCTACGAAGCAGCCAAGGAACTAGAGCATCCTCTACGAGTATTCTGATAAAATCTGTAGCAACTTTCATAGCACTGCAATTCTAGCTACAAGCTTTTCTTTATGATATCCCATCCAACTCAAGCTGTTCTTCATGCCCCCCGCAGATTGCAAACCCCTCCTCAAATTCCTTCAGATTCGTCAAGAAAATGTATCACCTCTTTGAGCCCGTGCCACTGCTTCATGCGAAAACGAAATGCCATCCAACTGTGAGTACCGTGAAAATCAAAGTAAAGGAATGTTTCGACCTCATCTCCAAAAAGTTCGAGGAGGCCGCTGAGGTCGACAAGAACACAAAATCGTCCCAGTTCACTGTTGTTGGTAAGGATGTGTCGTACTTTTCGTTTGACCCACTAGATTGCATCCCTGCTTCTCGTTTGTGGCTGGTTTCACCGTCAAGATGTTGCATACCCTTCGCTCCCGCCACGGAATGTTTTTGCGGCTTGGACCCGAGCTTGACCTCTTCTTGTACAAAGACCTCTGGCTCCAAGAGCCCCGTGGCTGGTTCACAACAGCTCTCGACAAAGGCATCCGGGACGACGTCACAGGGAAAGTCAAACTCTTCGGCCAGCATGGCAACTTTGATGCAGGCAGCATCTCGAAAGTAGAACAAACGGTTGCCGGCTTTGAAATCAACCTTTGGGACAATTCCTTCTCTTGTGACAAGCCCAGGAGGACAATAGTCACAGACTCTTTGCGAGGAGGGAGTCGATGAGCATCCACAGTAGGACCCCACCACGGATTGGTGTTTCGTACAGTCTTCCGTCCCTTGAGTATGCATGAACTGCGTATAGAAGGAAAAAGCCTCGCAAGTTGCTTCTGCTGCGTTGCCAGGGGTCACGGCTTTGTCTGGAATCAATGGAGGGCTTCCGTCGAGACACAGTTGGCATCCGTCTGCGGGTGGAACATTGTCGGGGCAGCCACAGTGGGTGCCAGCTAGATGGTAGTAGTCGCAAGTTGATGCTTCCTTGCCTTTCGTATCCTCGTCGGCATCAAATGTGCTCCACAAGTTCCAGGCCGCGTCAATCTGCAGCGCACCACAGTTTCCATCATACCCATCGGGCCAGAGGGATGGATCTGGAATGGGCGAACCATCTTGGCACAGGCGGCAAAGGGTATCCGGTGGAGGCTTGTTGTTGCATCCACATTCGTTGCCATATCTGTGGTAGTATCGACAGGAAGCTGGATCAGAATAGTAGCTTGCTTCTTCTGCCAATTCAGCACAGGTTTGCTCTGTTTCTTCCACAAATGCCTCGGGGTGGCGAATGGAGGATCCATCTTGACAGACCGTGCAGAGAGTAGTTGCGTGAACGGTCTGGGGCAGAACAGCACTCACAATCGCCGCCAGAAGGGCGCCATTGTACATGTGGAGCCACATTGGTATACTCTTGTTCTCCTATCTGTTGCAAGCAGCGTCTGTGTTTGAACTGGCCAATGGTACCGATGGATACCGACAACTCTACATTGCATTAGTTTGGGGAGAAAACAAGGACAAGCAAGGAGCAAAAGTCTGAAAAATGATGGACGGCTTCGCTGCAAGACTGAGCGAGCGTTGGAGGCAATTTTCGTGCATCGTTAACGGTTGGGGCAAGTGTGCCTCTAGAAGATGGTGCGGGATTCGATTCAATCAAATCAAATCAATCGAACCCTAACTCTAGTGTGCATTTTTGAGATCTTTTGGGTATCGTGCCACTCTCCACAACTTTGGAGGACGAGGGTTGTTCATCACGACCGCGGCAACAACCTTCAGCCATGGAGTCCACGAACGGCAGCAACAACAACATCGTTGGGAGTAGCGTTCCTGCCGCATCTGAATCTGGGTCTGGATCTGGAGCGAGTGCTCTTCTTTCTTCTGGCCTGACAAAGTTCCGTGATGGCCGAAGAAATAGTCAGCTTTTTGGATCGCAGATTTCTTTTGAATTGCATGGAAATCCCTCAGGTTGTGAATCACTTTGACTTGACAAACTACTACTGCCAGCGACATGAAAACAACATGGAGTGTCAAATGGCTCTGCGAGAAGAGCGTCGAAAGGAAAACCCCTGGATGAAAAACTATGACAACAAGGACGACAGTGACAACAGCAATGACCACCCCAACATAAAGCACAAAAAGATTGAGTGCGCAGAATGTGTCGATATTGAGTACGATCCATGCTGTTGGCGGTGCGATTGTTGCGACAAATTTGTGCACGCGGACTACGAGGAGACATGCCAAAAGCCTGAGTGCCGCAAAATTGCATGCTATTCCTGCATTGACAAGGATCGTGATGTGATGGCATTTTGCCAGAATGAGGGCTGCTTTGTGCGCGTTTGCAAGTACTGGTATTGTGAACCACTCAATTCCTGTCCCCACTGTAAGGACCGCTTCTGTGATATGTGCCTCAATCTCGTCAACTGCTCGGAATGTGGTCTGTGTATTGGATGTTTGGCTGGATGTGACCAATCCTACCTTTGCACTGAAGATTTGGACTGTTGGTGCCGATGCTGAAAAGTTCATTGTGAGGATTGCCGTACGCGTTCCTGCTTGGGATCTTGCGCTGATTGCAAAGAGTGGCGCTGCAAGGACTGTGAACCACTCAATGTCTGCCAGTGTTGTTTTGATGCTTTCTGCGTCACATGCCGAAAGAACGAGATCTGCGTAGACTGCTCTACTTTTATGTGTGAGCGCTGCACGGAACGCTGCGCATGCGGGAAGGTTCATCGGGACGATTGCTCTTGTTGGGTGTGAACCAATGTGAACCAAACAATTCTGCAAAGAAAAAGAACGACAATATGCGGCACCAGGAGAGCTCTCAGAGGTGGGTCGATTGTTCAGAACGATTCGATTCATACCACAAACAGGGTGGGCTTCTTGGATTGGTTGTTTGGTGCATGCTGTTTTCTGGACCAGCAGCATGCACCATGCACAAGGAGATTGGACACACAAGGATTTTTACTAGACTATAATCTCTCTAGCGTCACAATTTAGAGACTGACACTCTACCGTAGCTGGCTTTGACCGGGGCAATGTAGAGGTATGCACGCTTGACGAAGAACAAAGTTCAATTTTGGAGTAGAGTTTGTTGTGTTTGGCGGAATCCCTGTTGGATTGGGTCAAACTCAACGGTGAAGAAGCCAGCCGCGGGCACTGAGATTGCTCTTCTCATCCTCTCTAGCTACGGTACCGGCTCGGTCAAACTCATCGGTTTCGCCAGCGCTGGAGCTCCGCCTCTCGGTACAGAACCCGAGCATGAAGGAGCCATTGAAGGAGTGTCTCCGGTATCGGTTAGCAACTTGCGTTGATTTCCGATTTCTCCCATTGCCTTCTTTCGAATCGTCCACAGAGGGAATCCGGAAAAATATCTCCCGGTTTCAAGCTGGCCGAGCACAACCAGGTAGAAGCTGGAAGCACATCGCGTCATAGCTAAAAACAGCCAGTGCGTTGCGAGTCACTTGGCCAAAACAAGCAAACCACAAGAAAGCTTAGTCTTATTAAAAGTCTGATGCATCCTTGACTAATGCATTGACTTCGACGCTCGATGGCTGGTGCATGGCTCCCAGTACCGATTAGATTGTCTGGCTTTTGGCTAGTAGCTAGTTTTAGGTGGTCTTGGACTTTTGTTCACCCGTTCCGTATCAATTCATTTTGCTTTTGATCGGTTCACAAAGCTACAGATCGTATCACAGCTGTTTTCTCAGGCCTCACTGCTACACTGCTACTGTGTGAAACCTAGTTTGCGGAGATGCCAGTCGCCAACATTGGTTTTACCGAAAACACAACTTTCCTTCTCTGTCTAAAGCCGACCCCAACCGTAACACGAATCACCATTCACCATTCATGGATAGCCAATCAGAATCCAGTATTAAAACACCAACGGGACTGGCACAATCGTTTCTCCTCTTTCTGAACGAATAGCAAGGGCCATGTTCGTGTGGATGACTTTCACGAATCTTGGCCCACCACTCTCCAAACTAGCTAGATAACCAGCGAGGAACAACTTCGCCAAAAACACAAACCAGACTATTGCCAACACAATGGAAGCCATCGCTGTTGACACTGTCGACAACAAAGCAGACACTATTGACAAGGCAAT